AAAAAAAAAAAAAAAAAAAAAAAAAAAAAGGAAATGTCAGCAGTGATAGGTGTTAACATGGTAGTAACTAAGCAGAAATTTCTCCTTGACTCAAAAGGATTGAGAGAGTTGGAAAGGAAGTAACTTTGTTACCTGGTTTTTCTGTGTTGGGCTCCTGTATCACCTAAAAGCATCTCTAGTATCCCATTTGGGAGTTGTAGATTGTAGAAGACGGGGATTGAATCCAAGTCCTCCAACACTTACCTCTCAAAGCTACCTGGGTGGCCTTGTCCCTGTGAGCTGACTTACGACCTTGCCCGTGAAGTGGGAATGATAGTGGCAGTATTTTGGTATTATGGGCCACTGGAGGCAGAAGGTCAGGCAGGTCCCCAGCCCCTCATGCTCTGTCAACCCCACCCTACAGGCTGTATTTGACTGTGTGGTGAACTCCCTTAAGAACGTCTTCAACATCCTCATCGTGTACATGCTGTTCATGTTCATCTTCGCCGTGGTGGCTGTGCAGCTTTTCAAGGGGAAGTTCTTCCACTGCACTGACGAGTCCAAGGAGTTTGAGAAAGATTGTCGGTGGGTCTCAACTTTCCGGTGCATTCCCATTGGGACTGGCAGGTGGGCAGTGGGGAGGTGGCTAGAGGCATCGGCCACTTGGGCTCAGAGACTGGAGAAGTGCTGAGCCTTGGGAGTGACCAAGCTTGGTTCTTGGGTAGAAAGAAAACCAGTTTTAGAATTCGAGTCACCGCCCATAGCCACAGGATGAGTCATAAGCAAGTGGCTTGACCTTTCAGTCACCGCCTTTGTCATGTGAGGGATATTAATACACATCCACAGTTCCTTACTTGAAACCTTTACAGGCAGGTGTGTTTCAAAGTGGAGAATATTTTGAGATTTTAGAAATGTTGGACTGTGTACATCCCACATCGGTACATGACACCCTCAGCTGGGTCTAAGGCAGCCTTATAAGCAAACACAATATTTCTGCTATAAAATGTGTAACTAGTATGCCGGGTGCGGTGACTCATGCCTGTAATCCCAGCACTTTGGGAGGCCAAGGCAAGCAGATCACGAGGTCAGGAGTTCAAGACCAGCCTGGCTGACATAGTGAAACCCTGTCTACTAAAAATACAAAAATTAGCTAGGCATGGTGGTGTGTGCCTGTAATCCCACCTACTCAGGAGGATGAGGCAGGAGAATTGCTTGAACCAAGACCCAGGAGGCGGAGGTTGCAGTGAGCCAAGATCTCACCACTGCACTCCAGGCTGGGCTACAGAAGGAGACTCCATCTCAAAAAAAGTGTAGCTATTTACATTAAATGGGGTAAATAACAAGTATGAAGAGCTTCATGTCCAATCAGATCAGGTTTCATTGCCAAATAAGTTAGGTAAGAGACCAGGTGCAGCGACTTAGACCTGTAATGCCAACACTTTGGGAGGCTGAGGTGGGAGGATCATTTAAGACCAGGAGTTGGAGGCCAGCTCGGGCAACATAATGAGACCTCATCCCTACAAAAAAATGTTTAAAAGTTAAAAAAAAAAAATACAAAATGAAAATTTTTAGAAAACTAAAAATTTTAAAAATATAGAAAAAGAAAAAAAAGAAGCTAGCGGGGCATGGTACCACACACCTGTAGTCTCAGCTACGCGGGAGGCTGAGGCAGGAGGATTGTTTAAACACAGGCGTTCAAGACCACAATACATGATGACATACCACTGCATTCCAGCCTGTGTGACAGAGTGAGACCCTGCCTCTCAAAAATATATACATATATACGCATTATGTGTGTGTACATATGTATACATGTATATACGTAGTGATGTCACCAGTGTAAAGTGGTATTTTTGCAACAGATGGCAGCCTGTTATCTTAATGGCTATTTATTAAAATTAGGGGGGGTGCCAGATGTCTGGGTAGGACTCTGGTAGTAGCCATTGTTTCCTTCCTTGAAAGGGAGCAGCAGCTTGTAAATGTCCCCTGTGTCCCTTTGCCTCCTCCTAAACTCCCCCTGCCCCACCCCCCACAAGACCGAGGCGCTCGCCGGGAGGACTAGAGGTTATCACGTTGGAAGAGAAAGCTGGACCCTGGGTCTGCTCTCCCACCGTGAGCAGGGTTGTGGGATCGTCCATGGATTTATCGCAAAGTAGATGCACACGCAGTCCCCCGTGAAGCACAGGGAGCCGCGGTGGCGGGATGGGGAGTCGCCGCTTCCCAGGCCGAGAGGGGCAGCATAGGCTGGTGGAGCCCTCTTCTTTTCCCTCCTCCTGTCTGCGATGACCAAAGACAAGTGCAAGAGAGCCCGTCTTGCCCATTTACTGACAGTCCTCACTCTCTTTGGCAGAGGCAAATACCTCCTCTATGAGAAGAATGAGGTGAAGGCACGAGATCGGGAGTGGAAGAAGTACGAATTCCACTACGACAACGTGCTCTGGGCCCTGCTGACCCTCTTCACTGTGTCCACGGGAGAAGGCTGGCCGCAGTAAGCTGGAAGTCTACCCAGGAGCCTCAGGGAGCAGGAGGAGAACAGGCCTGAGAGTTTAGCAATAAGAAAAGTCTTGGAGGCCGGGCGTGGTGGCTCACGCCTGTAATTCCAGCACTTTGGGAGGCCGAGGTGGGTGGATCACGTGAGGTCAGGAGTTCAAGACCAGCCTGGCCAACATGGTGAAACCCCATTTCAACTAAAAATACAAAAATTAATTGGGCATGGTGGCGGATGCCTGTAATCCCAACTACTCGGAGGCTGAGGCAGGAGAAGCACTTGAACCAGGAGGCGGAGGTTGCAGTGAGCCAAGATCACGCCACTGCACTCCAGCCTGGGAGACAGAGTGAGACTCTGTCTCAAAAAAAAAGAAAAGAAAAGAAAAGAAAAAAGAAAAAGGTCTTGGAGGCTGGGCGTGGTGGCTCAGGTCTGTAATCCCAGCACTGTAGGAAGTCAAGGAAGGTGTATCACTTGAGGCCAGTAGTTTGAGACCAGCCTGGCCATCACGGCAAAACTTCATCTCTACTAAAAATACAAAAAGAAAAATAAAAATAGCCAGGCATGGTAGAACACATTGTGGTCCCCGCTACTGGGGAGGCTGAGGCACGAGAATCACTTGAACCCAGGAGGCAGAGGTTGTAGTGAGCCGAGATCACACCATTGCACTCCAGCCTGGTCAACAAGAGCAAAACTCCATCTTAAAAAAAAAAAAAAAGCTGGTCTCGGTGGCTCATGCCTGTAATCCCAGCACTTTGGCATCCCACGTGGGCGGATCAACGGAGGTCAGGAGTTCAAAACCAGCCTGACCAACATGGTGAAACCCTGTCTCTACTAAAAATTAAAAAAAAAAAAAAATGAGCCGGACATGGTGACGCATCCCTGTAATCCCAGCTACTCGGGAGGCTGAGGCAGGAGAATCTCTTGAACCCGGGAGGCGGGCATTGTAGTGAGCCAAGATCACACCATTGCACTCCAGCCTGGGCAACAAGAGTGAAACACCATCTCAAAAAAAAAAAATAAAGTAAAAATAATTTAAAAATTAAAATTAAGAAATGACTGACATTGTTGCCAACCTTTCAAAAACAGTGACTACTTATGTTTCTTTTTCATCTCCCTCTGTTCCTTTTCCGCATCTTACTTCTACCCTCTCTCCGCCTTCCTCATCACCCCTTGGGTCCGTGTCTGTCTCCTTCCTGCCCCTTCCCTCTCCCTCCCCCATTCCTTGCAGGGTCCTCAAGCACTCAGTGGATGCCACCTTTGAGAACCAGGGCCCCAGCCCCGGGTACCGCATGGAGATGTCCATTTTCTACGTCGTCTACTTTGTGGTGTTCCCCTTCTTCTTTGTCAATATCTTTGTGGCCTTGATCATCATCACCTTCCAGGAGCAAGGGGACAAGATGATGGAGGAATACAGCCTGGAGAAAAATGAGGTGCCACTTCCAATTCCATCTGTCCTTTAAAAACTGGGGACACAAACGCACATGTACACAGCACCCAGGAACCAGTTTCTAGGGGTACCTGGGGGAGGCAACAGAAGCATCCTCCAAATAGAACCCAGCCTTCAGGGCAGCCCTTCATGGAGTTTCTAGAGGAAACACATCATATAGTGTATGTATCAGTCAGTTTAGACTAGGTTATGCCGCAGTAATAAGCAACCCCAGATTTCATTGCCAGATATCCACAAAGGGGCTTATTTTTTGCACACACTGCATGTCGAGATCAGTTGCGTCTCTCCTGTGCATCATCTTTATTCTGGCTCCCAGGCTGAGAGCAGCCTCCCTCTGAGATGCTCCAGATGAAAAAAAGAGTGTGTCAGCCGGGTACAGTGGCTCATGCCTGTAATCCCAGCACTTTGGAAGGCCGAGGCGGGTGGATCATGAGGTCAGGAGTTTGAGACCATCCTGACCAACATGGTGAAATCCCATCTCTACAAAAATTACAAAATTTAGCCAGGTGTGATGGCGGGTGCCTATAATCCCAGCTACTCAGGAGGCTGAGGCGGGAGAATCATTTGAACCCGGGAGGCAGAGGTTGCAGTGAGCCAAGATCACGCCATTGCACTCCAGTCTGGGCGACAGAGTGAGACTCCACCTCAGAAAAGAAAAAGAGAAGATGTCAAACCGGGGTTCAGCCCTTCAGGCTTGTGCTCAAAAATTACACATGTCACTTCTGCCCACATTTCATCAGCCAAAACAAGTCAAACACCCATTCTGACATCAGTGGAGTGGGGAAATACAGTCTCCCCCAGGGAAGGGTGGTGAATATTTATGAATGAAAAGCCAAGCCAGGTGTGGTGGCTCACACCTATAATCCCAACATTTTGGGAAGCTGAGGCAGGAGGATTGTTTGAGCTTAGGAGTTTGAGACCAGCCTGGCCAGCATAGCAAGACCCCATCTCTACTGAAAACAACAAAAATTAGCCAGGCATGATGGTGCACACCTTTAGTCCCAGCAACTCGGCAGGCCGAATTGGGAGGATGCTTGAACTTGGAAGTTCGGGGCTGCAGTGAGCTATCACGTCACTGCATTCCAGCCTGAGCAACAGAGCAAGACCCTGTCTCAAAAAAAGAAAAGGAAAGAAAATCCAGTCCCCAGTCTACCAGAGAGTGTAGACATGACTCTTTGCCTCTCTGGCATCATCCAAGCTAATTAGAGGACCTAGAATATGTCCTCTGCTCCCTTGGCCCTTAAGACTTAACCAGTATTCCTCCCTCTCTCTCCCTCGAAGACAAGGAGAAGCAGCAGCAAAGTGTTCCGTAAGAAAGAAGGGCCGGGCGCGGTGGCTCACGCCTGTAATCCCAGCACTTTGGGAGGCCGAGCTGGGTGGATCACGAGGTCAAGAGATCGAGACCATCCTGGTCAACAAAGTGAAACCCCGTCTCTACTAAAAATACAAAAAATTAGCTGGGCATGGTGGCGCGTGCCTGTAATCCCAGCTACTCAGGAGGCTGAGGCAGGAGAATTGCCTGAACCCAGGAGGCGGAGGTTGCGGTGAGCCGAGATCGCGCCATTGCACTCCAGCCTGGGCAACAAGAGCGAAACTCTGTCTCAAAAAAAAAAAAAAAAAAAAGAAAGAACGGGCCAGGCGCAGTGGCTCATGCCTGTAATTTAACACTTTAGGAGGCCAAGGCAGGAGGATCACTTGAGCCCAAGAGTTCAAGACCAGCCTGAGCAACATAATGAGACTCCCCCTCTCTACGATTAAAAAAGTTTTTTTAATCGTAGAGAGGGGGAATCTCATTACGGGTGTGGTGGTGCATGCCTGTAGTCCCAGCTACTCAGGCGGCCGAGGCAGGAGGATCACTCGAACTCAGGAGGTCAAGGCTGCAATGAGCTGTGATTGTATCACTGTGCTCCAGCCTGGGTGGCAAAGCAAGCCCCTGTCCAAAAAAAAAAAAAAAAAAAAAGGAGGGAAGAAGGAAGAAAGGGAGGGAAGACAGGAAGGAAGGGAGGGAGGGAAAAGGGGAGGGGAGGAAAGAAGGAAGGAGGGAGGGGAGGAGAAAGGAAAAGGAAGGAAAGAGAGGAAAGGAGAAAGGAAGGAAGGAAGGAAAAGTGAAAAGGAAGGGAAGGGAAGGTTAGGCTTCAACCCGACTTGGCACACTTGGTAGCTGTGTCACCTGAGGCAAGTGGTTTAACCCCTCTCGGCCTCTATTTTCCTCATCTGCAAAATGGGGCTATTGATAGTACCCACTTCCCATGTGTGCATTAGCCATGCAATAATGGGGAAACGTCAGTGCACGTTTTGGCAAGTGGTGACATCTCAAGCAGTCATAGCTGTCAGGATAAGAAAGTGATGATGAGAAGGAGAAGGGAGCCCAGGAATCCTGGCTGGGGGCAAGAGAGGCAGGGACCCGTGCCGAGTTAGACAGAGGGTGCGGTGTGCAGCCGCCTTCTCCCTGCTTCTGCCACTCACACCACCGACCTCTCTCCCGCAGAGGGCCTGCATCGATTTCGCCATCAGCGCCAAGCCGCTGACCCGACACATGCCGCAAAACAGGCAAAGCTTCCAGTACCGCATGTGGCAGTTCGTGGTGTCTCCGCCTTTCGAGTACACGATCATGGCCATGATCGCCCTCAACACCATCGTGCTTATGATGAAGGTAAGCGCCCACACCAGCCCCCGGCACCGCTTCACCCCCAGCTCGTTCCTGCCCCTACCGTGGTAAAACAAAACCCTCTGCAGTTTCCCAGACAGGCCACATTCTGGGTCGCCTCTGAGATTTTGTTCCAGCTGTTCCCGCTACCTGACACGCTCTTTCCACCACTCTCCCTGGCCGGCTGCTGCCTCCCAGCTGTACCAGCAGACCTCTTCCTCCAGAAAGCCTTCCCTGACCACCCAAGACTGCTTGAGGCACTCGTCTCTGCAGGCAGCCTATCTTTATGTCACCTGCCACAAAAATCAGCGTCAGGTTGTATGGCAGTGTCCCCCACCCACTTGTGAGGACCTCACCCCTGAATTCCTAGAGTCCAGCAAGGATCTGGCTCGGACGGAACAAGAGGCTCTCTATAAATGTTTGATTAGTGAGATGAGGGAGGAGGGGTAGGTGAGGACCCTAAAAGCCCCAGGGCCAAGGAGCTGCTTCTAAATAAAAAAACTCTGGGCCGGGGCCGGGCGCAGTGGCTCACGCCTGTAATCCCAGCACTTTGGGAGGCCGAGGCAGGTGGATCACGAGGTCAAGAGATTGAGACCATCCGGGCCAACATGGTGAAACCCTGTCTCTACTAAAAATACAAAAATTAGCCAGGTGTGGTGGCACGTACCTGTAGTCCCAGCTACTTGGGAGGCTGAGGCAGGAGAATCAACTGAACCCAGGAGGCAGAAGTCTCAGTGAGCCGAGATCACACCACTGCACTCCAGCCTGGGCAACAGAGTGAGACTCTGTCTCCAAAAAAAAAAGGAAAAGAGGCCGAGCGTGGGGACTCACGCCTGTAATCCCAGCACTTTGTGTGGCCAAGATGGGCAGATCACATGAGGTCAGGAGTTCAAGACCAGCCTGGCCAACATGGTGAAACCCTGTCTGTACTAAAAATACAAAAATTAGCCGTGCATGGTGGTGCATGCCTGTAATCCCAGCTACTTGGGAGGCTGAGGCAGGAGAATCACTTGAACCCGGGAGGCAGATGTTGCAGGGAGCTAAGATTGTGCTGTTGCATGCCAGCCTAGACAACAGGAGTGAAACTCCATCTCAAAAAAAAAAAAAGAAAAAAGTATTATTATTCAACCAGGCACAATGGCATATGCCCATAGTCCCAACTGCTCAGGAGGCTAAGATAGGAGGATTGTGAGTTTGAGCTCAGCCTGGGCAAAATAGCAAGACCCCGCCTACCAAAAAAAAAGGTGGGTGGTGGGGGGGTTTTGTTTTTTGGATGTGAGAAGAAGAGCCTAGTCTGGTGGAGAGCTGGGCTTGCCTGAACCGTGCCTGCCACCAGCGAGGCTGCTCCACCTTTACCTGGGGCCGGGGTGTTGCCTTGAGAAGCACAGGCCTGAAGCTGCCTTTCCACTCCCCACTTCCCACCCCTGCTCACTGACCCTGCCACCCTTGCTTCTTTCTCCTAGTTCTACGGGGCTTCTGTTGCTTATGAAAACGCCCTGAGGGTGTTCAACATCGTCTTCACCTCCCTCTTCTCCCTGGAATGTGTGCTGAAAGTCATGGCTTTTGGGATTCTGGTAAGTACCGAGTTGGGGCTACAGCTGTGGGCTGGGGAGCCACCCAGGGGGAGGAACAGGTGCTGGATGATGGTCCCCCCATGTGGCCTTAAGACCCCCAAGCTCAAGGGTGGCTTCAGCATCCTCCCAGTGGCCACAGATCTGACTTAGGCATTCTTGTGTTTGCAGGGATTCCCAGGGAGACCCAATACATGAGTGTTACTGTATGCCAGGTGCTTCTGTGTTCAGTTTCTCAAAATGATGGGAATTATAATGGCTGAGAGTCATTAGCACCATTTCAGAGATAAGAAAACTGAAATCAGGCTGGGCACAGTGGCTCATGCCTGTAATCCTAGCACTTTGGGAGGCCAAGCCAGGAGGATTGCTTGAAGCTAGGAGTTCTCAACCAGCCTGGGAAGCAAAGACCCTGTCCCTACAAAAAAAAAAAAAAAAAAATTAGCCAGGAATGGTGATTCATGCCTGTAGTCCCAGCTACTCGGGAGGATGAGGTGGGAAGGTATTTTGAGCCCAGCAGGTGGAGGTTGCAGTGAGCTGTGATCATGCCACTGCACCCCAGCCTGGGCAACAGCAAGACTCCGTCTTTAAACAACAATCTAAGAGGCTGGGCACAGTGGCTCACACCTGTAATCCCAGTACTTTGGGAGGCAGAGGCGAGTGAATCGCTTGAGCCCAGGAGTTCAAGACCACCTGGCCAACATGACAAAACCCCATCTCTACTAAAAATACAAAAAAATAAGCCATCATGGTGGTGGGTCCCTGTAATCCCAGCTACTCAGGAGGCTGAGGCACAAGATTTGCTTGAGCCCAGGAAGTGGAGGTTGCAGTGAGCTGAGGTCCTGCCATTGCACTTCAGCCTGGGCAACAGAACAAGTCTTACAAAAAAAAAAAAAAAAATTAGGCGAGCACAGTGGTTCACACCTATAGTCCCAGCACTTTGGGAGGCTGAGGCAGGTGGATCACCTGAAGTCAGGAGTTCGAGACCAGCCTGGCCAACACGGTGAAACACTGTCTCTACTAAAAATATAAAAAATAACCAGGCATGGTGATAGGCTCCTGTAATCTCAGCTACTTGGGAGGCTGAGGCAGGAGAATTGCTTCAACCTAGGAGGCAGAGGTTGCAGTAAGTGGAGCCCACGCCACTGCACTCCAGCCTGGGTGACAAAGCGAGACTCCATCTAAAAAAAAAAAAAAATTACATCTTTCTTTTTCACCAGCCAGTAACTAAATTTTAACATTTCCTTCCATCTGAATTGGAGACAACAAACCCTTAGTATTAGTATTGTCAACACTTAGTTTTAATCAACATGACCTGTGTCACTTATAAACATCAGATATTAGGCCGGGCGCGGTGGCTCAAGCCTGTAATCCCAGCACTTTGGGAGGCCGAGGCGGGTGGATCACGAGGTCAAGAGATCGAGACCATCCTGGTCAACACGGTGAAACCCCGTCTCTACTAAAAATACAAAAAATTAGCTGGACATGGTGGTGCGTGCCTGTAATCCCAGCTACTCAGGAGGCTGAGGCAGGAGAATTGCCTGAACCCAGGAGGCGGAGGTTGCGGTGAGGCGAGATCGCGCCATTGCACTCCAGCCTGGGTAACAAGAGCGAAACTCCGTCTCAAAAAAAAAAAAAAAAAAAAAAAAAAAAAAAAAAAAAATTTAATTTGCATTCATCATTTCTTTGAAATGCTGCTTGTGATTAAACCTACAGCTAAAATTTGTTAGTGTGTTAATGAAGAAGTATATTAATTGTTAGATGGCCATTTTTTAGACTTTTTTTTTTTTTTTTTTTTGGGACAGAGTCTTGCTCTGTTGCCCAGGCTGGAGTGCAGTGGCACAATCACAGCTCACCGCAACCTCCACCCAGGTTCAAGTAAATCTCCTATCTCAGCTCACTGCAGCCTCCGCCTATGGGTTCAAGTGATTCTCCCAGCTCAGCCTCCTAAGTAGCTGGGACTACAGGCGCATGCCATCATGCCAGGCTAATTTTTGTATTTTTAGTAGAGACTGGGTTTTACCATGTTGGCCAGGCTGGTCTTCAACTCCTGACCTCAAGTAGTCTGCGTGCCTCGGCCTTCCAAAATGCTAGGATTACAGGCATGAGACACCGAGCCCAGCCTTGAAAAATATTTTGATAGCTATTTCATTACAAAAGGTAACCTTGCTGGGCACGGTGGCTCATGCCTGTAATCCCAGCACTTTGGGAGGCTGAGGCAGGCGGATAACCTAAGGTCGGCAGTTTGAGACCAGCCTCACCAACATGGAGAAATCCTGTCTCTACTAAAAATATAAAGTTAGCCGAGCACGGTAGTGCATGCCTGTAATCCCAGCTACTCGGGAGGCTGAGGCGAGAGAACTGCTTGAACCTGGGAGGTGGAGGTTGCGGTGAGCCGAGATCACGCCACTGCACTCCAGTGTGGTGACAGAGCAAGACACTATCTCAAAAAAACAAAAAAGTATTATAGTTCACACCTGTAGTCCCAGCAGTTTGGGTGGCCAAAGTGGGTGGATCGCTTGAAGCCAGGAGTTCAAGACCAGGCTGGGCAACATAGCAAGACTCCATCTCTACAAAAAAAAAAAAAAAATTAAAGTCCAGACACAGTGGCTCACACCTCTAAACCCAGCACTTTGGGAGGCCAAGGTGGGCAGATCTCTTGAGGCCAGGAGTTCGAGACCATCCTGGCCAACAGGGTGAAACCCTGTCTCTACTAAAAATACAAAAATCAGCCAGGCATGGTGGCACATGCCTATAATCCCAGCTACTTGGGAGGCTGAGGCGCAACAGTGGTTTGAACCTGGGAGGCAGAGGGAGCCAGGATTTTGTCACTGCAGTCCAGCCTGGGTGACGGAAGGAGACTCTGTCAAAAAAAATTAAAAATTAGCCAAGCATGGTGCATACATCTGTAGTCCTAGCTACTCAGGAGACTGAAGCGAGAGGGTTGCCTGAACTCAGTTGCTCAGAGTTGCAGTGAGCTACAGTTGCACCATTGCATTTCAGCCTGAGTGTTAGAGTGAGACCCCATCTCTAAAAAAATAAAAATTATTTTTAAAAATTGGGGGACCAGGTAAGGTGGCTCACACCTGTAATCCTGGCACTTTGGGAGGCTGCAGTGGGCAGATCCCGTGAGACCAGGAGTTCAAGACCAGCCTGGACAACATGGTGAAACCCTGTCTCTACTAAAAGCACAAAAATTAGCTAGGTATAGTGGCGGGAGCCTGTAATCCCAGCTACTGGGGAGGCTGAGGCAGGAGAATCACTTGAACCCAGGAGGCAGAGACAGCAATGAGCTGAGATCGCGCCATTGCACTCCAGCCTGAGTGACAGAGCAAGACTCCATCTCAAAAAAAAAAAAAAAAATTTAAGGGGAAAAAGGCTTATGCTAATGGGCTGGAACTAGAAGTCTTGAAGGTCTCCAGTGAGTGGCCAAGGTGAGACTTGAACCGGGACATCTGTTCTCTTGACCACCAGTTTAGTCCATTCCTTTGAAGAGAATGACCTACAGCCTGTGGTCTTAGCCAGGGTCTCAGGAAACCAGGTTCCCACCTTGGCTCAAGGAGGTCATTAGGGGCATCAGTTTCAGTGGGGACCTCCAGGGAGCAGCAGAGAGCACACACCACAGAGTCATCCTACCTCACGGGGGAGGGAGTGGGTGTATTTATCCTCCAGTGCCGATCAGACATAATCACAGCCCACTCCCAGGAGAGCTGTTAATTCCCAAACACACGTGCAGCCAGAGAGAGACCCTGGGCAAAGTAACATACTGTAGGTGTGCAGTTGAGATGTGGGCAGGGCCCCAGAAACATCTGCTAAAATGCCAAAAGTGCCAGTAGGACTTGAAATCCTTTTAGGTAGTTGTGAAACAGCAACATCTCATCTGTTAAGCACCTACTGTATGCTCCATGCTCATGACTCACATTCATTGTCTGATTGCTGTGATACTCCTGCCTTCCAGAGAAGGGCACAGAGGCCTTTGATTATGTCTGATGGGCACTGGAGGATAAATTGACCCACACTCTCCCCATGAGGTGGGATGACTCTGTGATGTGTGCTCTCTGCTGCCCCCTGGAGGTCCCCCTGAAACTGAGCCCCAGTTGGTAGTGCTAAAGTTGATGCCCCAACCATCTCTGTGAGCACTCCAAATAGGAGACGAACACAGCTCTCAAGTCAGGCTCCTTCTCTGTAAGGCAGAGGGGCTACTTCAGGGTCACCACTGACCACCCCAACCCCTGACCTGGCCTCTGCTTCTGTGAAGATGCTCAGAAGGCCCTGTGTTTTGTGTTTTGAGTCCCACTAACCCCAGAGGGGAGGCCATCTCTTTGACCCAGACTCTTGGATCCGAACAGGGGTGCCACCCATCACCATGTCAGTACTCAGTTGAGGGGAGTCAGAGAAAGGGGGAGGGCTTGTGGGACTGTTTTCCAAACAATGTGGAGTATTTCTGTATTTTAATAGCAGAGAGGCTATGCTTGTGTTTCACCTTGAGCCAGCACCCAGTCTAGGAATGTAGCAGTCAGGATAGATCAAGTGAAGCTGCAGTAACAAACAGCCCCACATCTCAGTGACTTACATTGATGAAGGTTTTTTACACTCAGCAGAGAAGCTGTTTGCCTCACAGTTACTCAGGGACCCAGGCTCCATCTGAAATGTTACTGATTGCCAAGCCCAGGGTTGAGAGGCTAGAGAGTCCAACGCTGACCAGTAAATGGCCACACTGTTTCCACTCACAGCATGTTACCACACCTAGACACACATGGCCCCATCTAAACACAAGGAGGCCAGGAAGTATGTGTGCCTGGAAGGCCCCAAAGCCCTGTTCTGTTCTGCACCCTGTTACTGTCCTCCTCCTCTGGGTCAGGAAATGGAGGCCCAGAAAGGAAGCCACTTGCCCATAGCCACACAGCTCTGGTAGCAGAGCTGGGAGTTGAACCCAGTCTGCTTTCTTCATGAGCATGCTGCCGCCTAGTGGGATCCTGAGTACAGACTCTGGGCTCTCTGAGGTCTGGGTTCAAATTCCAGCTTTATATATCTGTGCTGCTGACCTCAGGCAGATGAGTGGCTTGGCTCTTTGAGGCTTGGTCACCTCCTAGAAAATGGGTGTAGCCGGGAGCGGTGGTTCACGCCTGTAATCCCAACACTTTGGAAGGCCAAGGTGGGCAGATCACTTGAGGTCAGGAGTTTGAGACCAGCCTGACTAACATGGTGAAACCCCATCTCTACTAAAAATACAAAAATTAGCCGGGCATGGTAGCATGCACCTGTAGTCCCAGCTACTCAGGAGGTCAAGGAGGAGAATTTCTTGAACTCATGAGGCAGATGTTGCAGTGAGCCAAGATCATGCCACTACACTGCAGCCTGGGTGACAGAGCGAGACCCCATCTCAAAAAAAAAGAAAAGAGGCCAGGCACGGTGGCTCACGCCTGTAATTCCAGCACTTTGGGAGGCCAAGGTGGGTGGATCACCTGAGGTCAGGAGTACGAGACCAGTCTGACCAATATGGTGAAACCCCATCTCTTAAAAATAAAATAAAATAAAAGAAAGAAAAGAAAAGAAAGAAAATGGGTGATAAGCCTTCCCTCCAGGATATTCATGAGGATCTCAATGATGTCATTTATAAAGCCCCTGGGGTCTCAGGAGCCCTCAAAAGTGCTAGAGAGGCCACAGCTCTGAAGGGCAGCCCCAACCCCGTGCAGCTGAAGCAGGGTCTGGAGGCCCCCTCTGGAGCCAGGCCAATCATGGGAAGGTCCCCAGGGAGGGAGACTCAACACAGATGATGTTGAACAGCCCTTACCACAGCACTTCGAACAACCACAGCTGTCCCGTTCTCTCCGCTGATTGGCAGCTGTGTCCCTCACATGCCCCCGGCCAGCCTAGGAGGCCGGGGAACCAAGCCCTCTGTTGGCATCTCTGTCTTGTGGGTCCCCATTCTAGAATTATTTCCGTGATGCCTGGAACATCTTCGACTTTGTGACTGTTCTGGGCAGCATCACCGATATCCTCGTGACTGAGTTTGGGGTAAGTCTACTGTCAGCTTCTCTCTGGGTGACTGGGCTGGATGAGGCAGGTGGCAGGTGGGGGAGGGAGGATGGTCCCAGAAGCAGTGGGTCCCGACAGCCACAGCTGGCTTGAGCCAGCACTTGGCCATGACCAGAGAGGGAGAACTGGGGACCCGGGGACAAGGGCAGCGCCTCAGGAGGGGATCGTGGGAAGATGGGGGTGACCAAACCCTGGCTGTAGGACTAGCACTGAGGAGTGGGCTTCCCTGCATCCTGGCCTAAGAATTAATAATGCAAATGAGCACATTGAGAGAACTGAGACACTTAAAAGCTCTTAAAGCTGAGCCTGCTCCCAAACACCACATCATGTCGGGAGCCCAGAAAGAATGAGTTTCAAATCAATTCTGTTTGAACCAACCCTCTCCTGGTTCATGGGCAAGGAGAGCCATTGCCCTCAGGCCACAGTGGGGACACCACTCCCAGGGCTGTAGGGGGAGGGTCCCCAGGATGTCCTCCCTCCTCTAGTCCCAGGCCCGGGAGACTCCCAACATGGGGTGTCTCTGGACTTCTCTGTGATGGCCACACAGGCCATATTGCCCTTCCCCTTTACTGAAAGACACAGAGCCCTAGAGTTCCTGTCCCAGACCCTCTCCTTGGCCATCTGCCAGTAAGCCCAGGCTTGGGGGCCCTCAGGAGATCGGGGGGAGGGTGGAAGATCCTTGCAGGGGAAGCAGTGGTCAAAGGGCGTCAAAGCCAAGGGTCAAGGGTGACATCAATGTCATCTTAATAACAATAAAAATAACAGTAGCTCACAAGAAGTGCAGCCTTGCTGTGCGCCAGGGAACTGTGCCAAGCGGTTTACGTGGATTGGGCTCAGGTAGAGGTCTTGGTCTCCACACGTAAGAGAATTCCCTCAGAGGTGTCAACCGAAGACACCTGTCGGAAGCAGATGCTCGGTGCCGCAAAGAAAAATCAGCACTGAGGCAAAGGATTTTTTAGCAACACAATGTTTACCTCCTGGACTGCAGGAAGGGTATTCCTGGTAGCCATTGTTACGAGAGTACAAAGAACAAAGGGAATACACACGAATTAATCCCTTACCAGGCATTTGGGGTCGTCCTTTGGCTGTGTCTGATCTCCATTGGCTGGAGCCAGACCTCACAATCTAAACCAAAGCCCGACTGGCTAACAGCTTAACTCTTCTAAACGGGTAGAAGCAATGGAGAGCTGGGACATGCCTGTGAGCACGTCCAGCACAGATATGTTGGTTAAAGTACAAGGACATAGAATGTACTATGTGGCTGTAAGCATGACATGTCTAATAGCTACATAGGATAGAGTGTAACAAAGAGTTATTAGCACACTTAGGATTTATTCTTTAACAAGAAAAGGAACTTTAAAGGGAGCTTTTCTGCTTCCTATAACACCCAAATGCAGAGACCACTGGTGGAGGGGAAGGGAAGGACATCCACAAGGGTGGCAAAGTACCCAGCGACCAGCCTCCACCGTGGGGAGCTGTTACATGCCCAGGTGCTGAAGTGGGGAGGGAACCTGAGCAAGAGACAAGGAGAAGCCACCAAGTGGGAGCTGTCCTGTCAGTGCAGAGGGACAGACCAGGGCCAAAGCAGATGGAGAGCAGTGGAGGAGAAACCTGCCAACCTTTCTCTCCTCCATCCCTTACCTCCTGCCAGAGCCTCCTGTTGGCCAAGGTAAATCGGAAGGGAGCTGACTGTGATGCTCAGAGCAGGCAGAGAAGTCAGGAGAGCAGATCTAGCTGTGATCAGGCCTGAGGACAAGGGTGTTGCCCCATTTCACAAATGAGAAAACTGACCCTCGGTCAGGCGCACTGGCTCGCACCTGTAACCCCAGCACTTTGAGAGACCAAAGCTGGTGGGTCACCTGAGGTCAGGAGTTCAAGACCACCCTGGACAACATGGTGAAACCCCATCTCTACATAACATTTTAAAAAGCTGGGTCTGGTGGCACACACCTGTAATTCCAGCTACTCAGGAGGCTGAGGCAGGAGAATTGCTTGAACCCAGGAGGCAGAGGTTGCAGTGAGCTGAGATTACACCATTGTACTCCAGCCTGGGTGACAAAAGCGAAACTCTGTCTCAAAAAAGAAAAGAAGAAAAGAAAGGAAAGGAAGAAAGAAGGAGGGAGGGAGGAGGAGAGGGAAAAAAAAGAAGGAAAGAAAGAAAAAGAAAAAGAGGAAGAAAGAGAGAAAGCAAACTGATTCTCAGTGCTTGGGGAAGTGAGGGACACTCCCAAGGTCACAAATCCAGGCCTGGATGACTCCTGAGAGCACACTGACAGCCCCTGGGGTGTCCCAGTCAGATCCCCCTACAGAAAAGGATCTGTTTGCCTGCTCTTCCATCCTAGAAGGCCAGGAGTGGCTGGGGAACCACACAAAAGAAGAGGCCATTTTAGGCCAAGCTCGGTGGCTCACGCCTGTAACCCCGGTACTTTGGGAGGCTGAGGTGGGCAGATCACCTGAGGTCAGGAGTTCAAGACCAGCCTGGCCAACATGGTGAAATGCCATCTCTACTAAAATACAAAAATTAGTCAGGCATGGTGGCGTATGCCTGTAATCCCAGCTACTCCAGAGGCTGAGGCAGGAGAATTGCTTGAACCCAGGAGACACAGGTTGCGGTGAGCCAAGATGGCACCTTTTCACTCCAGCCTAGGCAACTGACAGAGTGAGATTCCATCTCAAAAAAAAAGGGGGGGGGGGCATTCTTTGATGTGTTCCCCAGCACCCACACCCAAGTGATACACTCTTATTTGCCTTCAGTTCCAGTGAGCCAGAAATTTCCCCTTCCCCTCACTATCCCTGAAACCTTCCTCTAGAGGGTTCTGCCCCACCCAGGGCTGTCTTCACTGGGTTACCCGCACCTGGCCATTCTCTGCTGTCCTGCGTTTCTAGAGAGGGCTGGAGCTCCAGCTGGCAGTCAGAATACCTTGCCATCCAGGTACACACAAGACAGCCTTGCACCAATGTCCCTTTGGGTCAAGAGGGGCGGCCCAGCTCCCCAGAAGGGCAGGTGGGGTGGAGGAAGTTAGTTGAAACCTTCAATCACCAGTCAAACGGCTGTAGGGATAGGCTGCAATCGCCTGTTCTCCTGGCTGGCAGGAAGATGCGGCGTGAGGCGGTGAGGGACATCAGGACCATTGCCGTAGCCAAACAGCCCCCACCCTCCCTACCAGCTGCTTGAACTTGAACAACTTGTGCTGCCTCTTCTCATGTAGAGCGAGGCTAGCCATTGCAACCAATTTCAGACACTTGGAAGACTCACATTGATGCATACACTCAAAAGACATTCATTGAGCACCTACTGTGTGCCAGGTGTAGTTATAGGTGCTGGAGACAGAGCGGGAAGGAGGGGTGCCAAACAAAACAGACCAAGAATGCAGAATGCCTGCTCCCATAGCACTGACATTCTAGGGAGGGAGATGGGAACGTTTTACAAGTAAAAGCATCTATGGGCCGAGCATGGTGGCTCACGCCTATAATCCCAGCACTTTGGGAAGCCAAGGCAGTCAGATCATTTGAGGTCAGGAGTTCGAGACCAGCCTGACCAACATGGTGAAACCCTGTCTCTACTAAAAATACAAAAATTTGCCAGGCATGGTGGCAGGTGCCTGTGATCCCTCCTCCTACTCAGGAGGCTGAGGCAGAAGAATCACTTGATTCTCGGGAGGTGAGAGATTGCAATGACCCGAGATAGCACCACTGCACTCCAGCCTGGGCAATAGAGTGAGACGCCGTCTCAAAAAAAGGAAAAAAAAATGGCCGGGCATGGTGGCTCATGCCTGTAATCCTAGCACTTTGGGAGGCTGAGGTGGGTGGATCACCTGAGGTCAGGAGTTCAAGACCAGCCTGGCCATCATGGTGAAAACCCATCTTTAAAAAAAAAAAATTCAACGTGAAGCACTTGGCACAGAACCTGCTAGAAGAAAAAAAGGCGTTCTGATTATTATCATAGCTGGTTGTCATTATTCTGGTTGTTGTTATTGCTATTGTTATTATTATCGTGAATGGGTATGTAGTTTTGTTAGCTGGCCCTGAATTATAATCAGCGTAAGGGAAAGATAGTGGTTGGGTGTTTGGACCCTTCTAGAACAATTCACTCCCAGCCTGGAGTAGGGAGTGGCATGTCCTGGCGGGCAAGGAGGTCTCAGTTGCCCCTTTCTGCCTCCCAGGTAAGCCTACTAGGTCTGAGGCCGGGGCTTGGCCGGGCTAAGGCAGGAAATGGCAGCCTCTTGGGAGGGCAGGCCCCTGGGGTGGGCGGGGCAGAGGGCATGTGGCAGTACTACCCCAGGCTGCCTCGCCGCTGCCCCCGCGGCCGGGGCGGGCGGGGCGGAGGGCACGTGGCAGTACTACCCCAGGCTGCCTCGCCGCTGCCCCCGCGGCCGGGGTGGCGTGGGTTTGCCCTGTGCGCAATGGATAATGACTCTGTTTCTTGTCTTGTCTCTTTTCATGCCTGCTCTTAAAACTGTGTATTGGCGCAACGCCGTCTGAAAACCTCATCCAATCAAAATGCACTATGAAATTCATTTGTTCATCCATGACGTGGTCTGTGTGTTCATACACCAATGACTTATCTCCTAACCCACCGCCACCACCACCCCCACTCCCCGCCCGGGAACCGAAACCCATTGGTCTTTTGGCACTGGTTACAAATCAACCTAAAAAATGCTGAACACGCCTCCCCAACTGCCCCCGCCCGCCCGCTCCCCCTCATCTTCAACATCTGCATCTAGAATCCGGTTGGTCTTACTTCTTTCTGAAGTCTAAATGCTTTACATTAACTGTGAACGCGTCTCCTTGCCTAGGCATTGCATGCCACACCCTGCCTCTCCGACGTGGGATGCCTGGCGCTCTCCCCACCCCTCTGCTCCTCTCTGTCTGTCCCTCTGTCCTCCCACCCCCAGCCCTGTGCCTCCCCCTTCCTGCAGATTCTCTGTTTTTATCGGGTTCTGAATGGGGGTTTTCTGTTTGGGGTTTGTGTCTTTTGCAGAAGAAGGGATGGGTTTTCCCAGTGCAGCACCTCTGTGTCTCACCACATTCCATACACTCAGAGACAGTGGAGGCAAATCCACTCCCTGCCACCTCTCACCACTGCTGCCCCCCGGTTCAGCTCCATGGAGCCCAGGCCCCAGGAAAGCTGCCAACTCCCTCCTCGCCCTCCGGCTCTCTCCAGCCTGCTGTCCCCAACCCTCCATCTCAAACTGACAAGGTCTTTGGCCTTGACCAGCAGAGACCTGACTCTCCAAGTCTGCTGGAGGAGACCTGCAAGCCAGGCAGTGTGCCAGCAAAGACTCTCAGGCAGGGGAGCTCAGAAGTGTCAGGCTCAGGTCTGGCAGCTTCATGAGGCCCTTTCCTGGAGCCTTGACCTGCACCTGCATACACAGTCACTGTGCACACACAGTCACTGCACATGCAGTCACTGCATACACACTGCACCCAGTCACTGCACACAGACACTGCACACACAGTCACTGCACACAGTCACTGCATACAGACACTGCACACACACAATCACTCTGCATACACAGTCACTGCACACACACAGTCACTGCACACAGACACTGCACACAGACACTGCACACACACAATCACTGCACACACAGTCACTGCACGCACACAGTCACTGCATACACACTGTACCCAGTCACTGCACACAGACACTGCACACAGATACTGCACACAATCACTCTGCACACACAGTCACTGCATGCACACAGACACTGCACACAGACACTGCACACACACACTCTGCACACACAGTCACTGCACGTACACAGTCACTGCACACAGTCACTGCATACACATTGTACCCAGTCACTGCACACAGACACTGCACACAATCACTGCACACACAGTCACTGCACACACACAGACACTGCACACAATCACTGCACACACACAGTCACTATGCATGCAGTCACTGCATACACACTGTACACAGTCAGTATCCACACACACTGCACACACAGTCACTGCACACAATCACTGCACACACACAGTCACTATGCACACACAGTCACTATGCACACACAGTCACTGCACACACACAGTCACTACGCATGCAGTCACTGCATACACACTGCACACAGTCACTATCCACATACGCTGTGCACACAGTCACTGCACACACAGTCACTATGCATGCAGTCACTGCATACACACTGCACACACAGTTACTGCACACAGACACTGCACACAGTCACTACACATGCAGTCACTGCATACACACTGCACATAGTCACTATGAACACAGTCACTGTGCACACAGTCACTATACACACACAGCCACTATGCACTCACAGTCACTACACACTGCACACAGTCACTGTGCACACACAGTCACTATGCACACACACAGCCACTATGCACACACAGCCACTATGCACACAGTCACTATGCACACACACAGTCACTCTGCACACACACAGTTACTATGCACACACAGTCACTGTGCACACACAGTCACTATGCACACACACAGCCACTATGCACACACAGCCACTATGCACACACAGTCACTACACACAGGGTCACTATGCACACACAGTCACTACACACAGGGTCACTGCACACACAGTCACTGCATGTACAGATACTGCACATAGTCATGACCTCTCCTCTTTCTCATTCTCTAATTTTCTCTTTTTTTTTTTTTTTTTTTTGAGACAGAGACTCACTCTGTCACTCAAGGTGGAGTGCAATAGCACAATCTCAGCTCACTGCAGCCTCCACCTCCCAGGTTCAGACAATTCTCCTGCCTCAGCCTCCTGAGTACGTGGGATTACAGGCATGTGCCACCATGCCAGGCCACTTTTTGTATTTTTAGTAGAGATGGGGTTTCACTATGTTGGCAAGGCTGGTCTGAAACTCCTGACCTCAGCCTCCTAAAGTGCTGGAATTACAGGCGTGAGCCACCATGCCCAGACTCTAATTCTTATTCACTGTCCCTGTCTCTGTGTCACACACACAGTCGTGTGCGCACACATACACACACACACACACACAGCGCTCCTCTCTGCTACATCTACCCCCCCTGTACCCATACCCCAGTACACACTGCACATATCTCCCTCCCTCCCCCACTGCTCAGCTCCCTGCACACTCCTCATTCTGTTAAATCTCACCTGCCTCTGCTCCTCCCCCACTGTCCCTTAGACAGATGCCCTAATGACATCTTTGCCCTGGGACCCCTTCCCTGCTGGCAATACACATGCACTCACCCACCAAACATTTAATGAGGCCCTATTTGGTGCCACAGATGGAATTATGGGCAGAAGCAGACACCATTAATGTCCCCCACTGCCACCACAAACAGTCAGGTGGGGGAGGCAGGCATTGGTCAAATAACCCCTTGACTCCACTTTAAAATATACCCGCGCTGTGAGCTGAAGGTTGAGCCGCATTAACAAGGCACAGAGAGATGCTTAGAGTATTCCAGCCCCAGGACAGCACATGCAAAGGCCCTGTGGTGGGTCGGAGCCTGTGGGAAGTCAGGATCTACAAGTGAGGGAGTGTGGCCGGTGCAGAGACAGCAGAGAAAGGCTGACCTGGAGACAGCTGAAGACGGCAGAAGGGGACAGGACCCTGGGCTGGGGAGGGCAGTGCGTTGTTGTGGAATTTGAGCTTTCTCCTAAGCATCAGGAAGGGCCTGGGAGAACAGGAAGCAGGGGAGACATGACTGGTCATGTAACTAGACAAGCTCAGTCTGGTTGCAGGGCAGGGAACAGCTTGACAGGATGCTGGGCTGGAGGTGGGCAGCAGGAATCTCAGCAAGAGCTGACAGTGGAGAACAGAGAACAGTGGGAGGGTTGTCCCTCTCAAATGGATCTCTGCAGGACCCAGGGAAAGATCAGGTTGGAACTGATGAAATGAGAGGTGCCTGGGAGCACTCAGGTCTGTTTTAAAACTTGGAGATAGGCCAGGCGGGTGGCTCACGCTTGTAATCCCAGCACTTTGGGAGGCCGAGGCAGGCGGATCACCTGAGGTCAGGAGTTCGAGACCAGCCTGTCCAACATGGTGAAACCCCGTCTCTAATAAAAATACAAAAATTCACCGGGCGTGGTGACGCGTGCCTGTAGTCCCAGCTACTCAGGAGGCTGAGCCAGGAGAATCCCTTGAACCCAGGAGGCAGAGGTTGCAGTGAGCCAAGATCGTGCCACTGCACTTCAGTCTGGGTGACAGAGCAAGACTCCGTCTCAAAAAAAAAATAACAAACCGAGAGATAGAGGTGAGTGAGTGCAGGAAACAGCCAGGTTGGGGGAAGAGAACAGGTGTGGGCATAGTGAGTTTGAGGTGCCTTTAGGACATTCAGAAAGAAGTCAGATAGGTGGGTGGTTATGGGGGCTGGAGCTTGGAGGTGATGCGTGCAGTGGCACAACTTGTCTAGAGACCTTAGGTGGGTGGTCTCCCCATCCTGAGCGCTTGCGGGATACCTGAGCACGGTGCTGGAGGAGGAAAGACCACAAGCACGCTGTCCTCATGCCTTCCAGGGGCTGTGTCCCACCCCCGTCACATTCTAGCCAGGAAGTTCAGGGGAGGCGTTGAGAGGAAGCTGCACCTCCCAAGCTGTGGAATGAAATGTGGAAGCCAGGAAGAGGGAGCTTGCCAGAAGTTCTGGAGGCAGTGGGAAGACTTGGTGCAGATTCAGAAAGAGATGGAGGGTAGAGGAAGGCAGGCCAGTACCCTTGCCCCACTGCCCTGAACCCTTCCCGTCTCCACCCCTGCCCTCCTCGTGTGTCTCCTCCCCCCTCTTGGCTCCAAGAAGGGAAGCATGTTTTCTGCACGAATCTCCCTGCCAGATCCTTGGCTTTTTTGCATGGCTGCAAGCTTCCCCTGCCCTCCCCCAAAACTCCCGAGGCTGCTTCCAGGGTCTGCCTGCCTTCGCATGCCTGGCCGAGTCCACATGTTATGATCCGCCCCATGAAAGGGATGGCTTATACTCTGGGGTTGAACGGGAGGGGGCTGGGGACACCTGAGCCATCGGCCCCATCCCCAGGTGGAGCTGGCTGGCCAGGCAGGGATGGGGGTCAGGGCAGCAGGGCACAGAGAGTGGCTCTCTTAGCCAAGCTGGGTTTGGGGGCTTATTCAAGGCACTGGAGACATTCTGACACCAATTGAGCACATTGTGGTCAGGGTAGGATCCCCAAGCCCCCTTCCCACCCTAGAGGCCTAACGACACACGGATGTGTCCCAGAGAGTGTCCTAGACATTGCTATCAGACCCAGAGGCCTCTTGCCAGCCTCAGAAATTCCTTGAACTCCAGTCTTTGCCTCTCAGTTCCCAGGCCAAAGCTAGCACAAGACGCAGATGTGGTGGCCAGGAAGCCCTCTGGAAGCCGCCAAGTAGGATTCCCATGTAATGCGTCACCCAAATTAGGACACTTGTGAAACTGGGAGGGAGGCTGTGAATGTATGGTCACCCTGTGCCATTTAGGGGGATGAAGGTTAGACCAAGTTCAGTCTTGCTATGTGGCCTATATTTAGGGCTCCTGCAAATCCCATAGAACAAGTCTGATGAAGGCCCCCTTACTGGGGAGACCCTCTACTCCTCCTGCCTTCAACCTGCTGGGTACTGGCCAGTGAAGAAGGGTTTCCACGTCTGCCTGAGGCTGGGGCCTCGAACTCAAATGCCTCTGGCGGCCAAGCAGACACTAGTCAACCAGGAAAGCAGGTGCCATTTCTAGAACTCGAGGACCTTGGAAAACCAGAGAGCATGTGGCCTGCTTCCAGGGAGCAATTGCAGCAGGCCTGGGGTTGCCAGAAAGCCAGATTGGTGGGCAAAAAGCTCTTGATTTTTAAACAACAGCAATAATTTTTAATTAAAAACAAGGACAAATGAAAAAACACTGCTCAGGCCCAACAAAACAGCTTTTTTAGCCAGATTTGGCCCACTCATGACTTTGAGCCTCACACCCCCCAACCAAGGTCCCTTGAAGCCCCACGATGGTCACAAAACACTGGCAGTCCGTGTCCACCATCTCCAGCTGGTCTCCCTGGCCCCCCAACTCTCTGGACCCCTGGTTCTTTTAGCTTGGGTGGGAGGAGGCAGAGGCAGTGACTAGATGGGGTTTTTGAGCAGAGGCAGTGGCCACCCAGGGAGGTCCTGGGGGCAGGGATGGTCCCACCTCCCGGCCCCCAGCACCCACCCCTTGGTGGGCCTGGGCTGATTTCTGAGCTCACCCACCCATGGGAGCTGAGTGCTTCCTGCTTCCTGCAGGCCTGGTCCCGTGCTACTCCACCCAGCCCCAGAAGCTGAGAAGCCATCCCTGAGAGGGGGGAAAAGGGCCCCAAATGCATCTTCTCCGACTCAGCGGGCAGCGAGGACTCACCCTGCAGCCGAACAGCCCCAGCTCCCTCCCGTCCTCCCCATTCCCGCTCGCCAAGGGGGTAAGAAAAGATGCTCTTCCGCTTCTCCCAATTGGCTCGAGCCGCTGCTCCTCTTGGCCGTGGGGTGAGGTCAGGGCGGGCAGGAGCGGGTGGGCAGCTCGGCAGGGCAGGGCAGGGCAGGGTGCCCGGTGAGTCCCGTGACAGATGCATTTCTGGCCCGGAGCGTAACATGCCCTCGGAACCCGCACATGTCCACCAGGTCTGAGCGTGCTGGCGACCTCCATCCCCACCCCTGCCCTGGTGTTTGTGCATTGTACACGTGTGATAGATTCCGCAACTTGACCGGCTTGTGTCCTTTCGTCTCAGTGCATTTGGTTGTTGGGAGAAACAAAAACCATCTCGATTTTTTTCCTGATTGGATGATTCTGATATATTTTCTTTTTCTTGTTCTTTTGTTATTTCTTCCCCATCCCCATTCCTTTTTCCTCCTTCCTTTTTCTTTCCTTTCCCCATTGTGGGTGGGGCTGGCAGGGAGGGCTTATGCTTTTGAGTTGATGCCTTTTCCTCCCTCCCACCCTCTCTCTCCCAACTTCGTTCCTTTTTCGAGTTTTTCCTCTGCATCATTGCATTAATAGTGCTTTCTCTCTCCCTCCTTATTTGGGGTCTGGCTTGCTTTTTTCCTGTTGGTTGGCTTCATGTAGGGGGCCTCTGTGAGTGGTGACGGCTCTGAGCCCTTTGGGGTGGGTGGATGGTCACCCCTTTTCCTCCATCTCCCCAGAATAACTTCATCAACCTGAGCTTTCTCCGCCTCTTCCGAGCTGCCCGGCTCATCAAACTTCTCCGTCAGGGTTACACCATCCGCATTCTTCTCTGGACCTTTGTGCAGTCCTTCAAGGTGAGTCCTCATTCCTCCTGCTGGTCCAGGGCTAATAAGACAGGCGACCCCCATGCTCTGGGTGAATGTAGAAGTCAGATCAGAAGTACTTCTATGATATAGTCATGCAGAGACTCTGTTATCTGTAGGGCTCTTGTCTAATTTCCCACCCCTGGTGTGTCTTCAGAGCTCTAAAGGCCTCATCCTAGGGCCCCCAGAGATGCCCACCAGCCTAGCAGGACTCTAGTGCAGCATGTGGCCACCCAACCCAGTGGGGCAGAGCACTGGGACAAGGGAGGAAGACGGTGTGGCTGAGGGACCCCCAGCACACTTCTTCATTGCTTCTTTTCCCACCAGGCCCTGCCTTATGTCTGTCTGCTGATCGCCATGCTGTTCTTCATCTATGCCATCATTGGGATGCAGGTGAGTCCTGCACCCCTAAGGTTCCCAGAGTCTCCCAAGGAGGGCAGCCACCCTTAGGAAGGGATGGGTGAGAGAAGCCTGGTCCACAGAAGCAGCCATGGAGGTTGAGCTGCGTTTCCCAGAAGCCACTGGGGGAATGGCAGCCCCTGGTCATCACCCTCGAATTCTGCAGGTGTTTGGCAACATCGGCATTGACGTGGAGGACGAGGACAGTGACGAAGATGATTTCCAAATCACTGAGCACAATAACTTCCGGACCTTCTTCCAGGCCCTCATGCTGCTTTTCCGGTGAGAAGGGGGCCTGCTCTCATAATTCTGTTCCCTTGGTGGGGGTGCCTGCCTTCATCCTTCTGTTCCCATAGGGAATGTGCCCTCCTCTTCCAATGGAGGACGTATCTCTCTCCTTCTCTTCCGGTAGGGGGCGTGCTCTCCTCTTTCTCTTCCGGTAGGGGGCGTGCCCTCCTCTTCCGGTAGGGGGCGTGCCGTCCTCCTCCTCTTCCGGTGAGGAGGTGACTGGATGTGCTCTTATCCTTCTTTTTCCTGTGAGGGTGGAAATGGGTGTCTGGGGGCCCAGGAATCCTAGGAGGGCAGAACCAGAGGGCCCTGGGACCTAGTCATGAAGGTCATTTTCCAGCCATTATCTCCTTGAATCTTCCTGACCACCTTGTGAGGAAGGGATTCTTGGCAGCCCTGTCTGACAGATGACAAAACAGGCTTACAGACCGTGAGGCTTGATTCTTGGGTTCGTCATCCCGGCTTCACACAAAGTTCCTTCACTCGTTCCGTGGAGGGTTATTGAGCACCTACGGCATGCCAGGCACCGCTGTAAAAACGAGGATGCAGCAGGAAGTAGAGAAGAGGAAAAGACATTTTCAGCACTTTGGAAGCTAACATCCCCATGGGGAAGGCACATAATCAGGGAACAAATTATAAAGGATGCTAGAAAAAGGATGAAATGCAAGAATAAAAGGGAACAGGGCTGGGTGCAGTGACTCATGCCTGTAATCCTAGAATTTTGGGAGGCCGAAGTGGGAGGATTGCTTGAGCCCCGGAGTTTGAGACCAGCCTGGGCAGTGAGACCCCGTCTCTAAAAAAAAAAAAAAAAAAAATTTAATTAACTGGGCATAGTGGCACGCATCTGTAGACCAAGCTACTTGGGAGGCGAGGCGGGGGGATTGCTTGAGCCCAGAAGTTCCAGGCTACATTGAGCTATGATTGTGCACTGCACTCCAGCCTGGGGAACAGAGCAAGACTCTGTCTCCAAAAAGAACAATATATATTTTTAATTTTTTTAAAAGCCATAGAGGTAGATAATGGTGATAGTTGCATGATAATTTGAGTGTGCTTAATGCCACTGAATTGTACACTTCAAAATGGTTAAGTTTGCTATGTGTATTTCGCAACAGTAAAAAATATATATATATTTTTTAATCTAACAACAAAAAGAAAAAGAATAGAGGGCTGGTAGGTTGTACCTCTCTGAAAGAGTGACGTTTGAGAGAAATTGGCAAGGGAGGGAGCCATGTGGATATTGGGGAAGGGCAGTGCCAGCCGAGGGTGCTGCCCATGTAAAGGTCCCAAGGCAGGAGTGTGACTGGCATGTTTGAGGACTGTTCCCAGCATGCCTGGAACAGAGTGATCCAGGGAGAATATGTTATGAGATGACTGTCACCTGAATGGAGGGGAGCTTTTCTTTTTTTTTTTTTTTCCAGATGGAGTTTTGCTCTTGTTGTCCAGGCTGGAGTGCAATGGTGCGATCTCGGCTCACTGCAACCTCTGCCTCCCAGGTTCAAGCGATTCTTCTGCCTCAGCCTCCCAAGTAGCTGGGATTACAGGCGAATGCCACTATGCCCAGCTAATTTTTGTATTTTTAGTAGCGACGGGGTTTCATCATGTTGGTCAGGCTGGTCTCGAACTCCTGACCTCAGGTGATCCATCTGCCTCAGCCTCCCAAAGTGCTGGGATTACAGGTGTGAGTCACCGTGCCCGGCCTAGGGGAACTTTTAAAGCATACCAGTGACCAACCTGAGCAATGCATTGAGACCCCATCTCAAAAAATTTTTTAATTGGCCAGGAGTGGTGGCATGTGCGTGTAATCCCAGCTACTCAGGAGGCCGAGGTGGGAGGATCACCTGAGCCTGGGAGGTTGAGGCTGCAGTGAGCAGTGATTGTGCCACTGTACTCCAGCCTGGGTAACAGAGCAAGACCCTATCAAAAGAGAGAGAGAGAGAGAGGAAGGAAGGGAGGGTAGAGAAGGGAAAGGAGGGAAGGGAAGGCACACACCATACATATGAAATCTTACCCTAGACCAATTGAATCCAAGTCTGCTGGGGTGGGGTATTGGTATTTTTTCAAAGCTCCCTATAGACTTCAGTACACAGCTCCCAGAAAAAGGAGGTGGTCCAGCTGGGACTTGCCTGGCCAGCTCCAGAACCCAAGTGCCAGAACCCATGTGTGCTCCACCTCCCGGGGAGGCATTGGTGCCCAGTCAGGGCTGGGTGCCCAAGCCTCTGATTTCTCCCTGTCCTCAGGAGTGCCACCGGGGAAGCGTGGCACAACATCATGCTCTCCTGCCTCAGCGGGAAACCGTGTGATAAGAACTCTGGCATCCTGACTCGAGAGTGTGGCAATGAATTTGCTTATTTTTACTTCGTTTCCTTCATCTTCCTCTGCTCATTTCTGGTGAGTCTGTGGACACCGTGAGGGCCGGGTGGGCTCCCTAAGTCTGTCTCCCTTTCAGGGGAGTGGGTTTCTCTAGAACGTGGCTGTGTCAAATGTTTGTTCCCTCCAAGACTTCTCTGAACCAGCCTGGGATCAGGTGACCCTGAGCGTCTCAAACTCAGAGTTGTTGACATTTGGGGCTGGCTGATTCTTTGGGGTGGGGCCACGCTATGCCTGCACAGTACACAGCAGCATCGCTGTCCTCCCCCCACCAGATGCCAGAAGCACACGCCACCCCTTTCTCCTGCTGCGACAACCACAAATGTCTACAGACATTCCCAAATGCCCCCGGGGGGTGGGGGTGGGAGCCGGGGACAGAATTCCCCCATTTGAGACCCAGTGAAATATTTCAGCCAGGCATAGTGGCTGATGCCTGTAATCCCAGCACTTCGGGAGGCCAAGGTGGGAGGGTCACTTGAGCCCAGGAATGCAAGACCAGCCTGGACAGCATGGCGAAACCCATCTCTTTAAAAATAAATAAATAAATAAATTGAGGCTGGATGCAGTGGCTCACACCTGTAATCCCAGCACTTTGGGAGTCCGAGGCAGGCAGATCACCTGAGGTCAGGGGTTCGAGACTAGCCTGACTAACATGGTAAAACCCTGTCTCTACTAAAAGTACAAAAATTAGCTACACGTAGTGGCAGGTGCCTTTAATCCCAGCTACTTGGGAGGCTGAGGCAGATGGAGGTTGCAGTGAGCAAGACTGCACCATTGCACTCCAGCCTGGGAGACAGACTCTGTCTCAAAAAAAGAAAAAAAAAAAGGTGGAATTAGCTGCACACGTGGTGCTGCACACCTGTAGTCCCAGCTACTCAGGAGGCTGAGGTGGGAGAATCACCTGAGCCCTGGAGGTCGAGGCTGCAGTGAGCCATGATGACACCACTGCACTCCAGCCGGGGCGGCAGAGTGAGATCCTGTCTCAAAAATGAAAAATAAAAATGGGAAAAACTTGGCCTTGTTGGGGGCAGATGTGGGAGGATTTGGGGTCACGGTGGTTCTCTTGATGTTGGTCCTCATTTCAGTAGCCTCCCCTCCCTCTCTCACTGACTCTGTCTCTCTCCGTCCTTCTTGGTTTTTGTCTCTTTCTTTTTTCTTTCTTTGAAACAGAGTCTCCCTCTGTCACCAGGCTGGAGTGCAGTGGCACGATCTCAGCTCACTGCAGCCTCCACCTCCCAGGTTCAAGCGATTCTCCTGCCTCAACCTCCCAAGTAGCTAGGATTACAGGCGCATGCCACCAAACCCAGCTAATTTTTGTATTTTTAGTAGAGATGGAGTTTCACCGGGTTGGCCAGGCTGGTCTTGAACTCCTGACCTCAAGTGATCTGCCTACCTCGGCCTCCCAAAGTGCTGGGATTACAGGCGTGAGCCACCGCGCCCGGCCAGTCTTTGTCTCTTCGTATCTCTCTCCATCTCTTTCTGTCTGTCCGTCTCTTCCATCTCTCCACTTGATCTCCCTCACTGGCCCTCCTCGTGTGCGTGAGCGTCACCTTTCTGTCCCCCCATCTGTCTGTCTCATTTCCTTTCCCATCTTCTCTCTATCCCTCGCTCCATCTGGGCCTCTGTGTACATGTGTTTGGGTGTGTCTGTCTGTCTGTATCCTTCACCCTCACTCGTTCATTCCCTCCGTCTCTGCCGCCACTCCATCTTGGTCCCCGGTGTCCCCACAGATGCTGAATCTCTTTGTCGCCGTCATCATGGACAATTTCGAGTACCTCACCCGAGACTCCTCCATCCTGGGCCCCCACCACCTGGATGAGTACGTGCGTGTCTGGGCCGAGTATGACCCTGCAGCTTGGTAAGAGACCACTCCACGTCCTCCAGCCACAATACACGCCTCTCCTGGGAACTGGAACACGGGCTAGGTCAGGACCCGACCCGGGAGCACTGGGCTCCAGGGGTCCTCGCAGGGGTCTCACAGGTTCAGTTAGGAGAGAAGGCGTAAGAATCATCGCCCTTGCATACCCCAGATTAGACACGTGGGGTGCTAACGCTGCCCAAACCCTGGACTTCTGGAAAATGAGGGAGGGCATCAGCCATGACGTGTCCTGAAGAGCCCTCTCCTCCTACGAGCTTCTCCCGTCTCTCACTGCGAAGTCTCCAGATGGTGAGGATGCATTAGCCAGGCTCCAGGGAGAAAACCATCAGTGCCTCAGCCTCAGTTCTCCTGCAAGTGTGGGAAGGAGAGCTAGCCTGCTCTTGGCAGGATGGGTTACAACATCCAGGTGGCAGAACTCAGCTCCTGCTGGGACCTGTGAACCTTGGAATGAGAGGTCACACAGGCCAGGGAGGGCACAGAGCCTCAGGGGCCCTTGCATCTTTGTGGCCACAAAGGGAGTGGGTGCTCCCATCTGGGTAGACACCAGAGGGCCTCCTCTTCACTGACAGGCAATGGTTTCAGAGGGTGGGTTCCAACTTATACACGTGTATTGAGTGCTCACCCAACACCAAGCCTTGAAGGACACTCAGGGATCTGTTCAAATACCTGGAGCCCAGCAGCCACTGACTGAGGATTCTAGTCCAGGCTGGGCTTGGGGCCTAAAGAAGCATTACTGGGGGGCCCTCAGCAGGCTAAGCCCCATCTTCCTCTGGCCTCAGTGCTGGAGAGGAGGCCCCACAAGGAAGGTGGGCAGGAGGTGGTCTTGGCTACTCCCGAAGCGTCAGGTACGTCCTCCAGGAGACCGAGAGGCTGGGGAGAGCCGTGGGTGTGGGGCTTGGCTTTTGGCTGGTTCCTAACTCTACCTCTTTTGATTTTAGGTCACAGCAGTTGGATGCTGTCCCCAAGTCCTCTATTCCACACTCTATTCCCCCCCCCCATAGCCCATGTAGATTGTGGAGGAGGCAGATGCAGAGAGAGCCCCGGGGGAGGTGCCCTGCAGTCCAGAACCCCTGGCACACCCCGACTGAAATCCTCCAGCCCTGGGTCTCCCCAGTGTCTGGAGACTTTCACTTGTCCCAAGTCTCTCCCACTCCTGCAAGCCAGGGAGACCCCTGCCTCAAGCATCATGACCTCGCCGTGTGCCCAGGGAGCCTGTGTGAACCCACTGCCTGCACTAACCCCCTTTCTTCTCCTTTCAGCGGTCGGATTCATTATAAGGATATGTACAGTTTATTGCGAGTAATATCTCCCCCTCTCGGCTTAGGCAAGAAATGTCCTCATAGGGTTGCTTGCAAGGTTTGACTTCCACTAAAACCTGCTAGCATCCATGGAATGAGTGTGGCTTGGGGTTCTTCAATATATATATTTCATATATATATATATATATATATATATCTAAAAAACAGAGCCATCTCTCTCTCTTGCATTAAACTAGAAAACTCTCTTAGCCAACAGAATGCAGTCATGTAGACCGATGAAGCATGGAACATATTTCTTCCTTCCCTTCAGCCTTCAGCCATCTTTGCTTGCTCTTAGCTGAAGCTGCCCATCCTGGGGTCTCCACGGCACCCCAAATCAGACACATCCCCTGGGGGATTGTAACTTTGCATTTCTCCCCCCCACCATCACCTCCACACTCTCCCCTTCCACCCCTCACCTCCCAAAGCCCCAGCCCACCTCCCCACCCCAGCCCCAGCCCCTCCTCCCCACCTAGGCCCCCTCAGAGACCAGCCTCAGCCAAAACAGAGAACATGACCCAACTTTAGAAATGGCAATGATGGCTGGGTGCAGTGGCTCACGCCTATAATCCCAGCACTTTGGGAGGCCAAGGCAGGAGGATCACTTGAGCCCAGGAGTTCAAGACCAGCCTGGGCAACATGGCAAGAACTCCCTTCTCTATAAAAAAAATTAGTTGGGCATGATTGCAAGTGCCCGTAGTCCCAGCTACTCCAGAGGCTGAGGGAGAAGGATCGCTTGAGCCCAGGAAGTGGAGGCTGCAGTGAGCTATGATCACACCACTGCACTCCAACCTAGGCAACAGAGGGAAACCCTGTCTCTTTAAAAAAAAAAAAAAAAAAAAAGTGAACAAAAGCATGGCTGTATGTCTTCCAAAGTGAGAATCCCCCTTCCCTCCACATCCCTCCAGAACTATAGCTCAGAGCCCAAGCTGAATCTGACTTTTCTCTTTTCTCTCTCTCCCTGCTCCCGAGCAGTGAAGTAATCTTTTTTTTAATGACCTTTTCTTCCATTTTTTTCTCCTCTTTTCCATTGATTTGAAATATCTATTTTGTCATTCTCTGCATCTTTCTCTCTCTATTTTTTCGGATCGTGTGGATTTCTTTTTTCTTTCTTCTGTTCCTCCCCACCCCTCTTCCTTTGGTTCTCTGTTCCCATTCCCGTTTTGTTTTTGTGTTTTCGGTGCTGCCAGGGGCCGCATGCCTTACCTGGACATGTATCAGATGCTGAGACACATGTCTCCGCCCCTGGGTCTGGGGAAGAAGTGCCCGGCCAGAGTGGCTTACAAGGTAGACTACCCTTGCCGACCACCGATGTCCAGGCGCTGGGTTTTTTTTTGTTTTTTCCCTTTTTTATTTTTTTTAGTGCTGACCAGAAACACCCAGCCGACTCTCTTTTTCCAGCGTTTCTCTTCTTGTTTTTGATTCTTTTTTTTCTTTTCTCGAGTGAACTGATCATGACCATCCCTCGATTCCAAGCAGCACACTGTGTCCGTCCTTTCTGATGAGTGTCTTCGTGTTCTGAGACTCCATTATGGCCGACACGCCGGGGGGAGGGGGAGGGGAGCGCCCAGGTCCCCTTGCACCTGGTCTCCCAGGTACCAAATTGGAAACAAACACGCTTCTCCAGGGAGTCAAAACCCACGCCTCCCACTTCTGCCCCCCATGCCCAGGCCGGGACAGGCGCCTTGCAGAGAGGGGCTTAAGCCCCCGAGAGCAGGCAAGGTCCCGGGCCCATCTTTTGTGCCTCGAGCCCCCAGCTCCCCACCCCGCGCACACCTGAAGCTGATCTCTGACCTAGGGCCTTGGGGGATTGGAGACCTTCCAAGGAGCACCAAGAACCTCTCTTCCCCTCTCTTCCCTCCCACGGAGTTTCGTCCCCAGCCCCTGTCCCTAATCTGCCCAAGACACCCCAACATGCCTCTCCATTGTTCCAGAGTGGGCAGGCGGCCGCAGCTGGACCCCTGGACGGTGGCACACTGATGCAGGCCATGCACGCTGCCTTGGCGGGGCCTGGGGCGGGCAGGCACCATGGCCGACGGGGGGTGGTGCATGCTGGCTGAGAACACGAGCGTCCTGCCGCCAAGCGGCTGGGCCGGGCCACCCCTCTAGATCCCTGTCCTGGAATCTTCCTTGGCGCCCGAGGACAGATGCTCTGTTTCCTCCACTCATCCACGAGAAGTTCTGGGATGACCTTTAAAGATTCTCCCCACCCAAAAAATACTACCCTGTCAACCTGTTCTCCCGTCCGCCTTGATCTTCCCTGCATCCCCATCCATCAGTGCTATCTGTACCCGCCCCGTGTCGCCACCTCCCCACAAGCTCCTCTCTTTCCTTCCTCTGTGCACCACTCCTCACCTAACCTATATGTCCCCCTCACTTCTCAGTCAAAGCCGGGGACAAGGTTGGCCCACCAGCGTCTCAGACAAGGAGCCTCTCCCCGCACCAGTCGCTCCCCTCCCGTGTTCCTCAAGTCACTTCTCAGTGTCTGCGTAGTTGGATGTGTGTGCGCATGCAAGAGAGGGAGGAAGAGCCCTTCCCCTCCCCGTCTTGGTGCAGGCCCACCATTGGTCTGTCAGACAGCTCGGTGCAAATTTGAAAAAGGCACCCTTTCTACAAAACGTGTCCATCGGAAAATTGTTGCAGTCCGCCAATGTAGCGAGAACAAGACACTTGTCTGCTCTTAGCTGGGAAGCTGTTGTATTTAATGCACAAATTGGAGGCCAAGCATCGTGGCTCATGCCTGTAATCGTAGTGTTTTTGGGAGGCTGAGATGGGAGGATCACTTGAGCCCAGTTCGAGACTAGCCTGGCCAACATAGCAAGACCCCATCTCTACAAAAAGCAAAAAATATTTTAATAAATAAGTACATCTATGTATCATTTCCAAGATGGGAGCACTTTGTGCAGTGCACAGCCTGCACAACTGTGCACAGAGGCTCAGTCTGTGTTTCTCTGTTTCCCAGCTCCTTCCCCACCTTGCCCCAGTGTCTCCTCTAGTGTCCTGCTCTGAGCTTACCATTCCTCTCCCCATCTCTAGCTCTGTGTTTCCTGCCCATGTGTGTCGGAATCCCCACCCAACTCGACCTCACCCCCCTTCTCTGTGCCACCCCAGCCTGGGCTGGTGCACACCAGCCTGGCATCCTCTCCCATGCCACCCAGCACGGTGGACAGAACCCCTGCCTGGGACATGGGGAATCTTTTCTTCCCTGGGCCACAGGAATGCCCCTCATCCCTTCCCCCTGCCATTGCACAGAGAGCCAAGATCTGGACAAGTCCCTGAGATACACTTCCCACGGAGCTATGAATGAGTCTCGAGATTCCGTCTGCATGCGCCCCGTCTGTGCTGTCTGTGTCACAGCCTCGCTGCATGCCTGCGAGGGGCCTGCCCCGTCAGTGGGGGGCTGCCTGCCTGCCGCTTCTCAGAGGAATGATGTGGTCTCTGCCCATCTGGTCTGTCCTGGTCTGGCCAAGCCGGGAGGTGGGGGTGGGGAGCCGGTGGCGCCCCCACCCTCGGCTGTGGCCCCGGCCCCCTCAGCCTTGGCTGTTGCACGTGCTGCTCAAATCCAGCTTGTGCTCTTTTTCTTTGGGATCAGACCGAAACGGGGCCGTCCAGAAGAACTCTGGGGCGGAACGAGGCAGGGAAGGATTGAGGCCAGCTCTGGAAATACCAGCTCTCAGGTCAAGCACATAGAGGGAGAAAGGGGAGGGCAGGGGAACAGAAGTGTAGGAGAGCCCTCGTCCCCTCCCTGCAGCCCACCAAGAGAAACTGAGTACTAGGACAGGTAACCTACGTAGGGAACGCCTCAGCCTCTGCCCGCCTTCAGAGTTCTTCCTGGGACTCCCTGGGTAGGGGTGGGCGTGGCTCACGGGAGACCCAGGAGGGATGCCCAGGAATGACTGCCCTCACCTTGGGTTTTCTGTAGAGGCTTCTGCGGATGGACCTGCCCGTGGCAGATGACAACACCGTCCACTTCAATTCCACCCTCATGGCTCTGATCCGCACAGCCCTGGACATCAAGATCGCCAAGGGTAAGGAAGGGAGGGGGCGGGTGCCGAAAGGTGGACAGGGTGGAGCTGGGGGTCCCCCTCCCTGCCACAAACTAGAGGAGCTGCTGACACCGCCCTCTTCATTCACTCTTCCCCTCATTCGTTCTACAGGGTTTTTGGTTTTGGGGGCTTTTTTTTGAGAAAGAGTCTTGGGCAGTGCAGTGTCATGATCACAATTCACCGCAGCCTTGACCTCCCAGGCTCAAGCAATCCTTCCACCTCAGCCTCCCCAGTAGCTGGGACTATAGGCACTCACCACCATACTCCCTTAATTTTTTTTTTTTTTTTGGTGACAGAGTTTCCCTCTGTCACCCACACTGGAGTGCAGTGGCACGATCTCAGCTCATTGTAACCTCCACCTCCCGATTCTCCTGCCTCAGCTTCCCGATAGCGGAGATTACAGGCATATACGCCTGGCTAATTTTTTATATTTTGGGTAGAGATGGGGTTTCACCATGTCGGCCAGGCTGGTCTTGAACTCTTGACCTCAAGAGATCCACCAACCTCACAACCCCAAAGGGGCGAGCGAGGGGGCCCCCCCTAATTCTTTTTTTTTTTTTTTTTGAGATGGAGCCTCGCTCTGCAGCCTCCACCTCCCGGGTCTGGGCTCAAGCGATTCTCCTACCTCAGCCTCCCAAGTAGCTGGGATTACAGGCATGAGCCACCATGCCCAGCTAATTTTTGTATTTTTTAGTAGAGACGGGGTTTCACCATGTTGGCCAGTCTGGTCTTGAACTCCTCTAACCGCGTGATCCGCCTGCCTCAGCCTCCCAAAGTGCTGGGATTACAGGCATGAGCGACCACAACTGGCCTACTTTATTTTTTTAATAGAGGTGGGGTTTCGTCAGGTTGCCCAGGCTGGTCTCAAACTCCTGGGTTCAAATAGTCCTCCTGCCTCGGCCTCCCAAAGTGCTGGTTTTACAGGCATGAGCCACCACAGCTGGCCCATTTGGCAGATACTTAGTGCAACCCCTCAACGTACCAGGTACCCGTCTAAGCATGCAGAACCCAGCAGCTTACACTTTAGGTGGACGGGGAGGCCCCCACTGAGGAAGTGGGGCAGTGAGTCTCGTGGATCCCTGGCGGGAAGGTGCTCCAGGCAGAAGGACTGGCAGAGGCCCTGATGCAGGGGTGGGGGTGAACACGGGACACCCAGGGCATTGAGCTGACTCACGCTCTGAGTGAGAGTGTGCCACGCAGGCTCAGAGCAGAAGAGGAACCTGACCCAACTCACATTTGAACAGGTTCCCTCTGGCCACAGTGGGGATGAGAGACCAGGAGGAGGCCAGGGTGGGGCTTGCTGATACCATCCCGGTGGAGACAGGGTGGCAGCTTAGATCTAGTGACTCAGCCGAGCACGGTGGCTCACGCCTGTAATCTCAGCACTTTGGGAGGCCGAGGTGGGTGGATCACTTGAGGTCAGGATCACCAGCCTGGCCAACATGGTGAAACCCCATCTCTACTAAAAATATAAAATTTAGCTAGACATGGTGGTATGCGCCTGTAGTCCCAGCTACTCGGGAGGCTGAGGCAGGAGAATCACTTGAACCTGGGAAGTGAAGGTTACAGTGAGCCGAGATCGCGCCGTTACACTCCAGCCTGGGTGTCGCAGTGAGACTCCCTCTCAAAAAAGGGAAAAAAAGATCTAGGGGGTGGGGTGTAGAGCATTCAGACACTGGATAGCACCTGAGGGTCAGCCAGCAGGATGAGCGACGGTGGAATGAGGGGTGGTGGGGAAAGAGACACATGAAAGACACCCCCAGTGTCGGGCCTGAGCTCTGGAAGAACAGAGCAGCCAGATCCTGAGTCAGGGGAGAGGTGGGAGGGGCAGGTTGGGCATGAAGGGCAGGCATGGCTGTTGGCTGTGGCACATGGAGATGGGGAGCAGCCAGGGGCTCCAGGCCGGGCTGGGGCCATAAAGCAATCAGGCATCAGATGCTGACAGAGTAAGCCAGGAGACTGTATGAGCTCAGAGTAAATGGAGAGATCTGTGGCCAGGCATGGGGGCCCAGGTGAGAGGCTCGCTTGAGGCCGGGAGTTGGAGGCCGCAGTGAGCTCTGATAGTGGACACATAGTGAGACTCCATCTCTACAAAAAATTTAAAAGTTGGCTGGGCGCAGTGGCTCACGCCTGTAATCCCAGCACTTTGGGAGGCTGAGGCAGGAGGATCACTCGAGGTCAGGAGTTCCAGATCACAGAGCGACCCGTCTCTGCAGAAAATTTTAAAATTAGCCAGGTGTGGTGATGTGTACCTGCGCTCCCAGCTACTTGGAGGGCTGGAGTGGGAGGATCACTGGGGACCGTGAGGTCAAGGCTATATGGTGACCGCAGATGTAGCAGCTTAAGACACACCCATTTCTCAGTTCACAGTCCTGTAGGTCAGACGTCCCCGAAGCTAGACTGGGTGCTCTGCTGAGGGTCTCTCGAGGCTGAAATCAAGGTGTCAGCCAAGCTGGGCTCCTCTCTGGAGAATCTGGGGGAGAATCTACTTCCAAGTTCATTCAGGTGTGGGCAGAATTCATGTTCTTATGGCTGGTAGGACTGAGGTCTTGTTTTATCACTGGCTTTTCGCTTTTTGCTCCTGGGGATGCATGTAGTCCTCCGTGTGCTCCCGTTCTCTCTGACTTCCCCATCTGCCACTAGGCAGAAAGAATATTATGCTTTACAAGGGCTCACCTGATTGGAGCAGGCCTACCCTAAAAATCTCTGTATTTTGAGGAATGCTGACTTGATATTTTAATTTTTTTTTTTTCTTGAGACAGAGTTTCACTCTTGTTGCCAAGGCTCAAGTACAACGGTGCAATCTCGGCTCACTGCAACCTCCGCCTCCCAGGCTCAAGCAAATCTCCTGCCTCAGCCTCCTGAGTAGCTGGGATTACAGGTGGCCGCCACTACGCCCGGCTAGCTTTTTTGTGTGTGTATTTTTAGTAGAGATGGGGTTTCGCTATGTTGGCCAGACTGGTCTCGAACTCCTGACCTCAGGTGATCCACCAGCTTTGGCCTCCCAAAGTCCGGGGATTACAGCCATGAGCCACCTCGCCAGTATTTAATTATATCTGCAAAGTCCCTTCATAGCCTGGGCAGTGGTCCCTAGATTAGTGTTTGACTGAATAACTAGAATCTTGGTGGACGGGCAGCTTTTGAATTCTGCCTGCCACAGTTCCTTCATCTGTAAAATGGGTCTAACAATGCCCCCACTCATATGTAATGCCATGATAACTCAGCTGCTGTGGCACCCTGCAGATCTGTGTTCAGGGGTCCCAAAACCACCCACAGGTTCAGTGATTCCCTAGAAGAAGTCAGAACTGAGAAAAGTTTTTATACTCACAGTTACAGTTTATTACAGTCAAAGAATACAGATTAAAATCTGTAAAGGGCCGGGCACAGTGGCCCGTGCCTATAAACCCAGTACTTTAAGAAGGCCAGGCAGGCGGATCACGTGAGGTCACGAGTTCCAGACCAGCCTGGCCAACATGGTGAAACCTCATCTCTACTAAAAATGCAAAAATTAGTGGGGCGTGGTGGCAGGCTCCTGTAATTCCAGCTACTTGGAAGGCTGAGGTAGGAGAATCTCTTGAACCCAGGAGGCGGAGGTTGCAGTGAGCTGAGATTCTGCCACTGTATTCCAGGCTGGACAGAGTGAGACTCTAGCCCAAAAAAAAAAAAAATCTCCAAAGGGCCAGAAGTGGTGGCTCACGCCTGTAATCTCAGCACTTTGGGAGGGTGAGGTGGGCGGGTCACTTGATGTCACAAGTTCGAGACTAGCCTGGCCAACATGACAAAACCCCATCTCTACTAAAAATACAAAAATTAGCTGGGAGTGGTGGCAGGTATCTGTAATCCCAGCTAACTGGGAGGCTGACGTAGGAGAATCGATTGAACCCAGGAGGCTGAGGTTGCAGTGAGCTGAGACCACGCCATTGCACTCTAGCCTGGGCGACGAGCAAAACTCCATCTCAAAAAAAAAAAAAAAAAAAAGAATTACCCCAGCGTGGTGGCACACACCTGTAATCCTAGCTACTCAAGAGGCTGAGGCACAAGACTCCCTTGAACCCAGGAGACAGAGGCTACATTAAGCCAAGATTGCAACACTGCACTCCAGCTTGGGCGACAGAGCAAGACTCTGTCTCAAACAAACAAAAATCTGCCAGGCGCGGTAACTCATGCCTGTAAACCCAGCGCTTTGGGAGACCAAGGTGGGTGGATCACCTGAGGTCGGTAGTTCAAGACCAGCCTGACCAACATGGAGAAACCCTGTCTCTTCTAAAAATACAAAATTAGTGGGGCATGGTGGCGCATGCCTATAATCCCAGGTACTCAGGAGGCTGAGGCAGGAGAATCTCTTGAACCCGGGAGGAGGCTGCAGTGAGCCAAGAGCGCGCCATTGTGCTCCAGCCTGGGCAACAAGAGTGAAATTCCATCTCAAAAAAAAAAATCCAAAAACATAATATCTGGAAAGGAAGAGCATCTGGGGAAGGGTCCAGGAGACACCAGGTGTGGGCTTCTAGTTGTCTGGTCCCAGTGGAGTTGCTGAGACGATGCTTAATTCTCCCTGCAGTGTGACAGCAGGCACGGTGTACTCCCAGCCAGGACGCTCACCTGAGCCTTCGTGCCCCGGGGTTTTTACTGGGGGTCTGTCATGTGGTTACTCAGTCTCCAGTCCCTCCAGAGGTCAAACTGATACCACGTGGCCCAAGACACATCATTAGAATGAACTATAGGGAAAATTAGCCGGGCGTGGTGGCAGGTGCCTGTAATCCTAGCCACTCAGGAGGCTGAGGCAGGAGAATCGCTTAATCCCGGGGGCGGAGGTTTCAGTGAGCCGAGATCGCGCCATTGGACTGCAGCCTGGGCAACAGAGTAAAAACTCCATCTCAAAATAAATAAATAAATAGGCCAGCCGTGGTGGCTCATGCCTGTAATCCCAGCACTTTGGGAGGCCGAGGCAGGCAGATCACCTGAGGTCGGGAGCTCAGGACCAGTTTGGCCAACATGGTAAAACTCTATCTCTACAAAAATATAAAAATTAGCCAAGCATGATGGTGGGTGTCTATAATCCCCCCTACTCAGGAGGCTGAGGCGGGACAGTCGCTTGAACCCAGGAGGCAGGGGTTGCAGTGAGCCAAGATTGCGCCATTGCACTCCAGCCTGGGCGACAGAGCGAGACTACATCTCAATGATGATAATAATACTCTGGTCCAAAGTGGCACATCATGTGGTGCACACCCCATTAACAAGAACTCATCACATGGCCCTGCCAACCACAGGAGGAACCCTCCCGTGCACTCCGGTCGGAAGGCCAGGAAATACCGGCAGACAGCCTGAAGGACCACCATGACTGGGGTGAGGGACCAGGGACTGGCGGCAGGCTGAGGCCATGTCCACGGCAGTGGAGACTTGGGAAAGGGGGAAAAAACCTCCTCTGGGCTACACACAGTGGCTCTCGTGTGTAATTCCAACATTTAGGGAGGCTGATGTGGGAGGATCGCTTGAGCTCAGGAGGCGGAGACTGCAGTGAGCTATGATTGCGCCACCGCACTCCAGCCTGAGTGACAGAGCAAAACCCTGTCTCAAAAAATAAAACCAAAACCTCCTCTGTTGCGGATGCTCCAGGGCATCCCAGCCTTGTCCCAAGGCTGCATGCACATTACTTTGATCATCAAACAACCAGGTGGTAGCCGGGCATGGTGGTGCGTGCCTGTAGTCCCAGCTACTCAGGAGGGTGAAGCAGGAGAAGCTCTTGAACCCCCGGAAGGCGGAGGTTGCAGTGAGTCGAGATTGCATCACTGCTGCACTCCAGCCTGGGAGCAGAGCGAGAATCTGTCTAAAAAAAAAAACAGCAACAACCAGGTAAGACAAACAAGTACTCTTGCTGTCGTCTCCTTTATTTTTTTTGAGACAGAGTTTTGCTCTTGCTGCCCAGGCTGGAGTGCAGTGGCACGATCTCGGCTCACCACAACCTCCGCCTCCCAGGTTGAAGCGATTCTCCTGCCTCAGCCTCCCGATTAGCTGGAATTACAGGCATGCACCGCCATGCCTGGCTAATTTTGTATTTTTGGTAGAGGTTGCAGTGGTCAGGCTGGTCTCGAACTCCTGACCTCAAGTGATCCACCCACTTTGGCCTCTCAAAAGTGCTGGGATTATAGGCGTGATCCTGAGCCACCACACCCGGCCTGTCTCCATTTCACAGATGGAGAAACTGAGGCACCAAGTGGTAGAGACACCTAAGTCATGCAGTCAATAGCTGGGAGCCAATATTGGGCCCCGGGTCGTCCTGCTGCTGTCCGTGCTGGGCTGTCTCCCACGCAACTGCTCCATGGTCCTGGCCCTGCCGAGAAGCGGAGTCCAGATGTCATCCCACCAGTGCCGCCAGGGCCGCCTCCAGGCCAGGCTGTGGGGGAGCTGGAGACCCCGTGGGGACCAGGCATGCAGGCTCACCCCTGTAATCCCAGCACTTTGGGAGGCTGAGGCTGGCGGATCACAAGGTCAGGAGATCAAGGCCATCCTGGCTAACATGGTGAAACTCCATCTCTACTAAAAATACAAAAACTTAGCCAGGCATGGTGGCGCACGCCTGTAATCCCAGCTACTCAGGAGGCTGAGGCAGGAGAATCGCTTGAACCCAGGAGGCAGAGGTTGCGGTGAGCAGAGATGGAGCCACTGCACTCCAGCCTGGGCTACAGAGCAAGACTCCGTCTCAAAAAAAAAAAAAAAAAAAAGATCTCAGGAGCCACTGGCTTTGCAGCTGACCCAGAGACCGGCTGGCACCCAGACAGGCAGTCAGGGTCTGTCTGCACCCCCATTGCAGGAGGAGCTGACAAACAGCAGATGGATGCCGAGCTGCGGAAGGAGATGATGGCGATTTGGCCCAACCTGTCCCAGAAGACACTGGACCTGCTGGTCACCCCTCACAAATGTAAGAGCCAAGCCCCGCCCTGGGATCCCATCCACCTGGATGCATGGAGAGGGAGGGAAAGAGGAGGTCTGAGGAGAGTGTGGGCCCAGGCTGGTGCACACGGATGCAGGACAAGGGCCCCAAGGAGACCTGCCCATGGTGAGCTGGCCGTGTGTGTGCCCCCAGCCACGGACCTGACGGTGGGGAAGATCTATGCAGCCATGATGATCATGGAGTACTACCGCCAGAGCAAGGCCAAGAAGCTGCAGGCCATGCGTGAAGAGCAGGTGCGTTATTCGTCACCCCGGGGAAACCCCGGGCTGGGGACAGTGGCTTGCATGTCACCATGGGAACCAAGTGGAATAGGAGGGTGGCTGAGCCCTAGGGCAGCTCACACCTGTATTCCCAGTGTTTTGAGAGGCTGGGGCGGCAGGATCGCTTGAGGCCAGGAGTTCGAGATCAGCCTGGGCAACACAGTAAGAGTCCATCTTTACAGACTAAAAAATTAGCCAGGCATGGTGATGCATACCTATAGTCCCAGCTATTTGGGAGGCCAAGATGGGAGGATCACCTGAGGCCAGGAGTGGGAGACCAGCCTGGGCAACATAGAAAGACCCCTATTTCTACAAAAAAAAAAAATTAGCTGCATGTGGCGGCATGCACTTGTGGTCCCAGCTACTTGGGAGGCTGAATCACTTGAACCTGGGAGGTGGAGGTTGTAGCAAGCCGAGACCACGCCACTGCACTCCAGCCTGGGCAACAGAGCAAAACCCTGTCTGGGGAAAAAAAAAACGTTCTTACCAAGGACACATAATGTGGATTCATTCAGCTGCTCCACCAACACTTTTTGAGTACCTACTGTATGCAGGGTGCTGTTCTCGGCCCTTAGGGGTGCAGCCGTGGGCAGAACAGGCCAGAATCCCTGCCCTCAGGGAGCAGATATTCCAAGTGGGGAAGATGCCAACAGTAACAAATGACTGAATCACATAGCATCCAGCAAAGAGGAAGAAGTGTCAGGAAAAATGGAGAAGAACCCAGGAGATAGGAGTGCCCAGCAGAGGAGGGGACACAATGGGAAATGGGTGGTCGGGGAGCCTCCCTGAGAAGGGGACCTGTGAGCAAAGGCTTGAAAGAAAAAGGGAGAGGTGGTGAGCTAAGCAACACCTGGAAGGGTGTTCAGACAGAGGGAACAGCCAGTGCAAAAGCTCTGAGGCTGGACTGTGCCTGGGTTGTTTGGGGAACAGCAAAGAGGCCATTGTGGCAGAAAAGAGCAGGGAGGAGACAAGGGCAAGGAGGGGACAGGGCAGATCCTTCAGGGCCATGGGAGATGAAGGAAGGACTCTGGCTTTTACCCCACGTGAAGTGGGAGCCATGGAAGGTTCTAAGCAGAGGTGGGATCTGACTTGCCTCGGGTGCTCACAGGCGCCCTCTGGTGGCTCTTGTGGGAGAAACAGCGAGGTTGAAGGTAGGAGCGGGAGAAGGCACCTGCAGTGTTCCAGCAGGAGATGAGAGGCAGGACCAGGTTGGGGCTGTTACTTGGGTGGAAGGGGGAGAAGTGGTCCAGTTCTGGGTGGAATTGGCAGGAAGGATCTAGATGGATGAGACCTGAGTGCTGGGTGTGTGTGTGTGTCTGTACTTGGGATGTCACAATGCCTTCTGGGTATCTCTGTCCGACTACCTTGTTCAATCTGCCCTCTGCCCCCCTCCCCAGGACCGGACACCCCTCATGTTCCAGCGCATGGAGCCCCCATCCCCAACGCAGGAGGAGGGGCCCGGCCAGAATGCCCTCCCCTCCACCCAGCTGGACCCAGGAGGAGCCCTGTGAGTGTTGCCCCTGCGAGGGAGGTGGAGCATGGGGGTGCCATGGTCCCCAGGTTCTGGAAGCCACCCAAGCACCCACCACTACCCCGGCCTCTGTCCCCCATGCAGGATGGCTCACGAAAGCGGCCTCAAGGAAAGCCCATCCTGGGTGACCCAGCGCGCCCAGGAAATGTTCCAGAAGACAGGCACGTGGAGCCCGGAGCGAGGCCCCCCGACCGACATGCCCAACAGCCAGCCTAACTCTCAGGTGCCTCTGTCTCCCGACTCTCCAACAGCTCCCAGGCCTGGGCGGTTCAGGAGGGAGGCATCCCAGCCCACACACACCCCTGCAGCTCCGCAGACACCAGGGACCTGGGGGTCAGGCCCCAGGGCTCATCCAGCTTCACCATGTACCCCGCAGTCCGTGGAGATGCGAGCGATGGGCAGAGATGGCTACTCCGACAGCGAGCACTACCTCCCCATGGAAGGCCAGGGCCGGGCCGCCTCCATGCCCCGCCTCCCTGCAGAGAACCAGGTGAGGGCTTTCACCACTGCCCTGGGGACCTCTCCCTCTGCACTGGGCAGGGCCGGACCCGCCACAGGCAGCCCAGCACATCCCTTCTTTGCCAGACTGAGGCCTGGGTAGGGACTCCCGCGGCCTCTGAAGCAGTCTGCAGGCCCCACCCACCACATGGCCACACCTGGAGCACCCGCAGACCCTCCTTCCTCACAGAGGACAGAGAGGGAAGGGCTCCCCCAGGGCAGAGGGCAGCAGGCACTGCAAAATGGTCTCTGGCTGCCCTGGTTGGAGGTTGCAGACGGGAGATTTGTGGGTACAGTGAGGTTCGTCAGGGCCAGGTGAGACCTGGCATGACCAGCCCTACACACACACACACGTGCAGATATGCGCCTACTCAGGCGCATACATTACACACGTGCATGTACACATGGGCATATACATACTGCGCGTATACACATACATGCACACGTGTCTGCGTATGGGAACTTAGCAGGTCCTAGAATGCAGTAGCAGAGCCTGGGATGGGTCTAGCTGCAGCTGGGTTTGCATTTCCGTCTGGTCTCTGTGGGAGCCACTGGGAACGGGGGGACAGGGGTGTGTGCTTGATGTGTGTCTGTGTGTGGCTGCTACACTCAGCTGCCAGGCCCACCTGCAGGTGATCCCGTTGGCCCGGGCTCACAGGACAGAGGGCCCCAAGGCATGGCTGGCTGCCCACCTGACCTGTGGCAGGGGCCATGCACGCAGCCCACCATTGGAGGAGAACAGGGCGTGGCTGCAGGAGCCTGGCCCTGGCGTGTGTTATATGTGGCTGTGGCAAGCTTTCCATGTGCTGTGCCGTGGCATCTGTGCGGGGCAAGGCTGTGCTGTGCCTGGCTGGACCAGGGTCGCCCGAGGGCCCGGCCTCTGGCTGCTGGGAACGTAGGTTGGGGAGCACCCAGCATGCATGCCGCTGCCCCTCAGGACCGAGCTGCTAGGCCCCAGGAGAGGGTTGGGACAAGCCTAGCCGATGGCCACCATGTGGAAGCTTTGAGCATCAGCTGGAGCCCGGGGCTGGGGTGTGCATCGCATGGGGCGGAGCCCAGGGCCAGGGGCTCGTGGCCGCACCATCCTACCTGTCGGTCCCGTGCCTGTGCCATCTGTCTGTCTGCATCTCCTGTCTGTCTCCTCTGTACCCATGGCAATGGAGGACACCAGCCCCGGGGGCCCGGGACACCCACCTGCCAGGACTTTAACTTTTCTTTTCCTCCTGCCTCCTCTCTCCAATTTCTCCTAACACCAGTGCCACCCACCTCCCTGGCTTCTCTCCCTGCACCGCCACCTCACTCTCCCTCTTGCCTTTTATATTTATTTTCTTCTTTCTGTTTTTTCTGTGTGCACCATCCCATGGGGCTGTGACAGAGGAGGAGGGGCCGGCCACGTGGGAATAACCTCAGTGTATGTACCTCGCCCACCCAGCACCAGCAGGGCTCCGGCCCCTCTTCCTCCCCACCCCCCCTCCAGGGAGTCCCGTCATCTCTCCGTCCCCGGACCCCACCCTTTCTTTGCCGATCGCACCCTCTCCCCCCATGGAGTCCCATCCTCGTGTGTGGTGTCCTGTGTGTGCCCCCCATGCGCCCTGGTGGGGTGGGGACATCCCCATCCTCACCCCTACCCCCTTCTCTTCAGGACCCCCACGCTGGGGGACACCAGCTCTCCAAGAGCCTGGCCCACCCTGCACCTCTTTCTAGGGAGCTTCTTCCCCTGACACCATCACCGACCCCTGGTCCTGCTGCTCCTGCCTGGAGCAGGGCTACCAGCACTCAGCTGGGCTGGATCTTGGGAGGCGGGCATTTGCCCCATCTCCCTCCTTCCCTGCTCTGCCTGCTGCAGAGAACCCTCTGTATCAGGGCTTGACCCAGGGGTGCAGCACCGGGAAAACAGTGGGCCCCCCAGAGCCTTGGGTGCCTGGGTACCCCCCACCCCCACCTGGAGCTCCCTAGTTTGGGCCTGGCCAGAAGGACTCAGACTTGGGGGGCAGTGAGCACAGCCCCGTTAGCCGGGAGGACGAGGAGCTGCCATGCTGGGTACCTGGTCCTGAGCCCATAGGTCAGCCAGCCACAGAGGCTGAGGCTTCTCACCCTCCCAGGAGAGCAGGCTGGGGCAGGGGTGAGGGTGGGTGGGCCAGGGCTCCCAGGTTTGCACCCTGGATGTGGAGAGGGCTTCCCTCTGAGCAGCCTGAGCCTGCCCAACCCTGGCTGGGCCCCCAGGGCTGGAGGGTGAGGATCAGATTTTTCTGGTCAGAACCCAGGATGGGCCCAGAAGGAGCAGCCCTGTCTCTGAGGGACAGAGGAGTCCTCGGTCCCACCCTCAGAGGCCTGGCCACACTCAGGGCCCGGATTCATCAGGGGGAGCCAAGGCCCCACAGCACCCCCAGACCCCTGCCCCAGGATGGTTACACCCCAGTCACCAAAGGCCACCGCCAGCCTGCCTCGATGGGGCGGGAAGGACCGGGACCACTTGGTGCCAGCTGCTGACCTCAGCCCATCGGCCTGTCCCCCTCCAGACCATCTCAGACACCAGCCCCATGAAGCGCTCGGCCTCCGTGCTGGGCCCCAAGGCCCGGCGCCTGGACGACTATTCGCTGGAGCGGGTCCCACCCGAGGAGAACCAGCGGCACCACCAGCGGCGCCGCGACCGCGGCCACCGTGCCTCCGAGCGCTCTCTGGGCCGCTACACCGACGTAGACACAGGTGGGCAGCACTGCAGGGTTCAGGGACCAGGGTAACAGAGGACGGGAGAGGAGAAGGCAGGGCAGGGGAGACATTGAGGAAGAAGGGAGAAGAAAGGGAGACGCCTCCATGGAGAGGGGACAGATAGGGCCAGGTGGTGGCTGCAGGGGCCTGGGGGCTGGGCCCCCACTACCCACTGACCTGCCTCTGGCCAGGGGATCTCTAGGGCCCCCACACTCCCAGGTGGCCTTCTGTGTGCACATCTGCCCCAGCCCTCCTTCATGACCATCTGTCTGTCTCGCCCGGCCCAGGCTTGGGGACAGACCTGAGCATGACCACCCAATCGGGGGACCTGCCATCCAAGGAGCGGGACCAGGAGCGGGGCCGGCCCAAGGATCGGAAGCATCGACACCACCACCACCACCACCATCACCCCCCGCCACCCGACAAGGACCGCTATGCCCAGGAACGGCCGGACCACGGCCGGGCGCGGGCCCGGGACCAGCGTTGGTCCCGCTCGCCCAGCGAGGGCAGAGAGCACATGACGCACCGGCAGGTGGGTGCGGCGCAGTGATCCCAGGCTGGGCTCACGGGCCGGGAGGAGAGACGGGGACCCCCATCTGACGGCCACTCTGGGCAAAGGTCCCCAATCCCGGCTGTGACCACCTCCCATCCTATCCGTAAGCCACAGGGGCGCCCGGCAGACATGGCACCCCACCGGCTGCCCACACTGTCCCCCCAGCTCCCCCGTCCCCTCCCTGCCGCCCGCAGCTGCTTCCTCCTCGGTTGTGGATCACATTTGAGTTCTGGGCACCGCCCGACCCTTCGCTTTCCTTTAACCCAGCTTCCCTTTTTGTTTCGATTATGATTTCTGTCCTCTGGACGCCTGTGAGTAATTTTTGAAACTTCTGCTATTTTTAACCCCGAAACTTACAAAACTCCATTTCTCATTTCTCTTTTCACTTTGTTGTGTTGGTTTTCGATTCCTCCCCTCCCTCTTTGTCTCACTCCGCCTCCTCCCCTCCCTCCTCCCTGTGGCTGTTGCTTTTTTCCATTCAAATGTCCTGTGTCCCCTTCTCCTCCCCCTCCCTCCCAATCCTGTGTCTCCTTTGATTTTGTTGTATCTTTTTTTTTGATTTCCTTTGTTTCAATTTTCGTGTAGGGCAGTAGTTCCGTAAGTGGAAGCCCAGCCCCCTCAACATCTGGTACCAGCACTCCGCGGCGGGGCCGCCGCCAGCTCCCCCAGACCCCTTCCACCCCCCGGCCACACGTGTCCTATTCCCCTGTGATCCGTAAGGCCGGCGGCTCGGGGCCCCCGCAGCAGCAGCAGGCGGTGGCCAGGCCGGCCCGGGCAGCCACCAGCGGCCCTCGGAGGTACCCAGGCCCCGTTGCCGAGCCTCTGGCCGGAGATCGGCCGCCCACGGGGGGCCACAGCGGCGGCCGCTCGCCCAGGATGGAGCGGCGGGTCCCGGGCCCGGCCCGGAGCGAGTCTCCCAGGGCCTGTCGCCATGGCGGGGCCCGGTGGCCGGCATCCGGCCCGCACGTGTCCGAGGGGCCCCCGGGTCCCCGGCACCACGGCTACTACCGAGGCTCCGACTACGACGAGACCGACGGCCCGGGCAGCGGGGGCGGCGAGGAGGCCATGGCCGGGGCCTACGACGCGCCACCCCCCGCACGACACGCGTCCTCGGGCGCTACGGGGCGCTCGCCCAGGACTCCCCGGGCCTCGGGCCCGGCCTGCGCCTCGCCTTCCCGGCACCGGCGACTCCCCAACGGCTACTATCCGGCGCATGGACTGGCCAGGCCCCGCGGGCCAGGCTCCAGGAAGGGCCTGCACGAACCCTACAGCGAGAGCGACGACGATTGGTGCTAAGCCCGGGCGAGGTGGCGCCCGCCCGGCCCCCCACGCACCCCACGCACACACCCCACCCGAGGAGCCGCGCAGAGGCCGCGGGGGCCCAGCACAGAGGGCCCGGGAGAGGCCCAGCCGGGAGACCCCAGGCTCTGGAGAGGCCAGGGCTGGGCCACAAGGCTGTCCCGCAGAGACCCTCAGCCAGAAGAGACCCTCCTGGGCAGCCACGGCGCCCCCCACCCAGCCCCGATCTCCCCCACCCACGACAGGGGCTCTCGGGTGGGAGGCAGGGGGCAGACAAACCATACAGCCAAGGGATTTGAATTAACTCAGCCATTTTTATTTTTGGAGAACTTTGGGAAAAAAGAAAAAAAAAAAAAAAAAAAAAAAAACATTTTTAAAAAAAAAAATGGGGAAAAAAAAATAGCTTCTATTGATGAGTTTTATCATCTCAATTGAATCTTTCCTTTCCCTGATGAAGAGAGCTGGTGGCCGAGTGCGGCAAAGAAGCCGGAAGGAACCGGAACCCCAGCGCCCCACACCCACCACCAGACACACCCACATCCACACGTTCTCAGACACACAGGAGTGCTTGCCGGTTATACCAAACCCTACCATTACTGCCTGCAGAAATCCATTTAAAAAATAAACAATTTTAAAAAGGACAGAAAAATTAATGATTGAGAAGAGGCATTTTTTTCTGACATTTGGTCCTGCTTGAAATAACAAAAGAAGAAAAAAAAACCACCACCACCAATTCCTTTGCTTCTTTTTTCCTTTTTTCCCATCTTGTTTGAAAACCGTGGGCTTGGGACTGTGAATTATTGCATGACATTCAAAAAGAAAAAAAAAATAAAAAAAGTTGAGTCAAAGGGCTTTTGGATGGGCGTGGTCTTTATCCCTTTGCTAAGTACTGCCTGGGTGGGTCTCTCTTGGGGAATCAGTCATACAAGGAGGCACTTTGTTAGCTCCTGGAAAGAGGCCGGGTGTAGTGGCACAGGTCTGTAATCCCAGCATTTTGCAAGGCCAAGGCAGATGGATCATTTGAGGTCAGGAGTTCGAGACCAGCCTGACCAACATGGCAAAACTCTGTCTCTACTAAAAATACAAAAAATATTTTTATATTTTTATGTTGTTAGCTCAGGAAAGCAAAAATCAAAGATCCTATCCAGGACCTTGGAAGCTGTCCTCGCTGGGCTGCAGGGCAGTGCACCCCACCCTCACTTCATGCCCAGGTTCCCAGTTCTCCCAAAGCTTAGGTCCGACCTAAAAGCGGCCATCCTGGGCCGGGCGCGGTGGCTCACGCCTGTAATCCCAGCACTTTGGGTGGCTGAGGCGGGCAGATCACAAGGGCAAGAGATCAAGACCATCCTGGCCAACATGGTGAAATCCCGTTGCTACTAAAAATACAAAAATTAGCCGGGCATGTTGGCGGATGCCTGTAGTCCCAGCTACTCAGGAGGCTGAAGCAGGAGAATCGCTTGAACCCAGGAGGCAGAGGTTGCAGTGAGCCAAGATTGCACCACTGCACTCCAGCCTGGTGACAGAGCGAGATTCCATCTCACAGAAAAAAAAATATATATATATACAAATTAGCCAGGCGTGGTGGCACACACCTGTAATCCCAGCTACTCAGGAGGCCGAGGCAGGAGACTAGCTTGAACCCAGGAGGCAGAGGTTACAGTGAGCCGAGATCGCACCACTGCACTCCAGCCTGGGCAACAGAGCAAGACTCCATCTCAAATAATAATAATAATTTGGCTTGTGGACCCCTAGAAGGGTTTCAGCCATCCCCAGAGTCCCAGACCCCTTTGAGACTTCTGTTCTCTGAATAGTACCTGACCAATAACAAGCTATTATTGACTGTCACCATTACTACTGTAGCACCAAGGCAGACATTTTGGAGAAGGCTTGTTCCAGACAACAGGCCTGCATGAGCTTACCTTGGCAAGAAGTCTGCAGACTCCAGATGGCAAGACAGATATAAGTCCTTGTAAAGTAATGGTAAGCCAAATGTGGTGGCACCCACCTGTAGTCCCAGCTATTCAGGAGGCTGAGGCAGGAGGATCACTTGAGCCCAGGAGGTCACGACCAGCTATGATCACAACTGTGGATAGCCACTGCACTGCAGCCTGGGTGATGCACAAAGATCTCATCTCTGAAAAAAAAGTAAAAATGAATAAAATAATGACATCTAGGAAAAGATCAGTCCAACAAGAAGTCAAAGTTTTGAGGCCGAGTACGGTGTCTGACTCTTGTAATCTCAACACTTTGGAAGGATCGCTTGAGGCCAGTAGATCAAGACCAGCCTGGAAAACATAGGGAGACCCTGTCTCTAAAAAAAGTTTTGCTAAGGCCGGGTGCTGTGACTCACGCCTGTAATCCCAGCACTATGGGAGGCCGAGGAAGGCAGATCATTAAGTTAGGAGTTTGAGACCAGCATTACCAACAGAGTGAAACCCCATCTCTGCTAAAAAGACAAAAGTATTTTGTATTGCATGGTGGCGCACGCCCGCAATCCCAGCTACTCAGGAGGCTGAGGCAGGAGAATCACTTGAACCTGGGAGGTGGAGGTTGTGGTGAGCCGAGATCACACCACTGCACTCCAGCCTGGGCAACAGAGCAAGACTCCATCTCAAAAAAAAAAGTTTTTTTTTTTAATGAAAGAAAGAAAAGGAAAAAAGGAAGGATGGAGGGAGGGAGGGAGGAAGGAAAAGAAGGTTTTAACTTTCTAACCAGGCAGGCTGGCAGCCACCACAGGCTTCTAAACAAGCTGCCCATCCATGGCAGAGCTGGCCTCTGGCCAAGGTCCGCCTCCCATGGTGCTGGGGCTGAGTGTGTCCAGGAGCCACTGGGGTGAGCCAGGGCTTATGCGATTCCCTCCAGTGCCAACGGGGCTGCAGCCATCTGTCCTCCAAGAATGAAGACCACTACCGAAGCCCCCAATGAGCCCAACTGGAAGGCCAAGTCTATGCCCGAGTGCCAAGAAGTGGACCCCAGGCCTCCGCAGTCCACACCATCAGGCTGGAGTGCTAGTCTTCCCGGGAGACACGGGGTAGGAGGGTCAGGGGATGAGGAAGAGGAGGGGAGCTTGGCCAAGTCCTTGGTCTCACATCCCCTCAGGCCATTGCTTGAGCCTCATCAGCTGGAAGGCCGAAAGGGCACCTATGTCACAGAAATACTCTGGGGTGCAAAACCCCAAGCATTGGGCACTGGCTGGGCGCAGTGGTTCAAGCCTGTAACACCAGCACTTTGGGAGGCCGAGGTGGCTGGATTGCTTGAGCTCAGGAGTTTGAGACCAGCCTGAGCAACATGGCGAGACCTTGTCTCTACTAAAAATACAAGAAAAAAAAAAAATGGAGTGTGGTAGTATACACCTGTGGTCCCAGCTACTTGGGAAGCTGAGGCAGGAGGATCTCTTGAGCCCAGGAGTTTGAGACCAGCCTGGGCAACATGGTGAAACTCCATCTCTACAAAAAATATCAAAATTAGCCCAGTGTGGTGGTGCATGCCTGTGGTCTAAGCCACTTGGGAGGCTGAGGTGGGAGGATCACTTGAGCCCAAGAGGTCAAGGTTGCAGTGAAGTGTGATCACACCACTGTACTCCAGCCTGGGTGACAGAGCAAAACCCTGTCTCAAAAAAAAAAAAAGAGAGAGTGAGTGAGTTATTTGAGTATGGTTTATGTAGACTCATCTTGGGACTATCTCCAGTGATAGGAGTAGCTCTAGTCTCTCTGGTAAGGAGATGGGGGAAAGGACACCTCCACAAAGAAAAATTTATGTCACAGGCTGTGCGCAGTGGCTGAAGCCTGTAATCCCAGCACTTTGGGAGGCCGAGGCGGGTGGATCACAAGGTCAAGAGATCGAGACCATCCTGGTCAACATGGTGAAACCCGGTCTCTACTAAAAATACAAAAAATTAGCTGGGCATGGTGGTGTGTGCCTGTAATCCCAGCTACTCAGGAGGCTGAGGCAGGAGAACTGCCTGAACCCAGGAGGCGGAGGCCGCGGTGAGCTGAGATCGCGCCATTGCACTCCAGCCTGGGTAACAAGAGCGAAACTCCGTCTCAAAAAAAAAAAAAAAAAAAAAATTTATGTCACTTTTTTTTTTGAAACGGGATCTCACTCTGTTGCCCAGGCTGGAGTGCAGTGGCATGATCTCGGCTCAGTGCAACTGCCACCTCCTGGGTTCAAGTGATTCTTGTGCCTCAGCCTCCCACATACAGGTGTGCACCACCATGCCCAGCTAATTTTCTGTATTTTTAGTAGAGACAGGGTTTCACCAGGTTGGCCAGGCTGCTCTTGAACTCCTGACCTCAGGTGATCTGCCCACCTTGGCCTCCCAAACCGAAAGTGCTGAGATTATAGGTGTGAGCCACTGTGCCTGGCCATCACTGATTTTTTTTCTTTTTTTTTTTTTTGAGACCAAGTCTCACTTTGTCACCAGAATGGACTACAATGGTGTGATCTCGGCTTGCTGCAATCTCTGCCTCCTGGGTTCAAGCAATTCCGCTGCCTCAGCCTCCCAAGTAGCTGGGACTACAGGCACCAACCACCATACCCACCTAATTTTTTGTATTTTTAGTAGAGATGGGGTTTCACCGCGTTGGCAAGGATGGTCTCAATCTCCTGACCTCCTGATCTACCCACTTCAACCTCCCAAAGTGCTGGAGGCATGAGACATCTCGCCTGGCCCATCTACTGATTTGTATTGCATTCAGCTCAGAATAATTCTGATGCTAAAGGTGATGATTGATTAATTGAAGATGATAGATATTGTTTTTGAGACGGAGGCTCACTCTGTCACCAGGCTGGAGTGCAGTGGCGTGATCTCAGCTCACTGCCAACCTGTGACTCCCTGGTTCAAGTGATTCTCCTGCCTCAGCCTCCAGGGTAGCTGGGACTACAGGCACGCACCACACCAACTAGTTTTCTTTTTTTTTTTTTTTTTTTTTTTTTTTTTTTTGAGACTAAAAAGCCTCCATCTGTTGCCTAGCCTGGAATGCAGTGGCACAATCTCCGCTCACTGCAACCTCCACCTCCCAGGTTCAAGCAATTCTCCTGCCTTCGCCTCCCGAGTAGCTGGGACTGCAGGCACGCACCACCACACACAGCTAATTTTTGTATTTTTAGTAGAGATGGTGTTTCACCATGTTGGTCAGGCTGGTCTCAAACTCCTGACCTCGTGATCTGCTGGCCTTGGCCTCCCAGAGTGTTGGGATTACAGGCGTGAGCCACCGCGCCCAGCCCCAACTTTTGTATTTTCAGTAGAGACGGGGTTTCACCATGTTGGCCAGGCTGGTCTCAATCTCCTGACCTCAAGATCCATCTGCCTTGGCCTCCCAAAGTGCTGGGATTACAGGCGTGAGCCCGGCCTTATTTTTTTGGGTTGTTTTGTTTGTTTTTTGAGACATTCTCACCCTGTGTCCCAGGCTGGAGTGCAGTGGTGCGATCTTGGCTCACTGCAACCTCCGTCTCCCAGGCTCAAGCCATCCTCTCACCTCAGCCTCCCAAGTAGCTGGGACCACAGGTGGAGGCCATCATGCCTGGTAATGTTTTGTATTTTTGGTAGAGATGGGGTTTTGCCATGTTGCCCAAGCTAGTCTCGAACTCCTGAGTGCAAACAATCCACTCACCTCAGCCTCCCAGAGTGCTGGATTACAGGCATGAGCCACTGTGCCTGGTCTCTAAGTGATATATTAAGAGTAACATATCCTGATCCCCCTCAGCTGCCATCAGAGGACTGGGGTGGGGACACGGATGGGTCACATCACTCAGCTGGAGGACTTGTGAGGCAGCCAGGACTGTGCAGGGGGCCCAGCCAGAGCACCCCAGCTTCCAGGACTTCTGGCTCCTCGGGAACTCAGGGCAATGCTGGGGTGAAGGCCCAACTCTAGGGAAATACCTGGAAGCAGGGGGTGTGGGGACAGGACACCCAGCCAGGAAGCTGCCTTTATTTCATGGTGCATTGGAAAAAGCCTCGCCAGCCCAGCAAAGCCAGTCTCTTACAAATACCAGTGATAAAACAGGCCTGGGCTCAGCGGCTCACACCTGTAATCCCAGCACTTTGGGAGGCCATGGCAGGCAGATCACTTGAGGTCAGGAGTTTGAGACCAGCCTGGCCAAGGTGGCGAAACCCCATCTCTACTAAAAATACAAAAATTAGCCAGGCGTGGTGGCATGTGCCAGTAGTCCCAGTTACTCGGGAGGCTGAGGCAGGAGACTCAGTTGAACCCCAGAGGTTGCAGTGAGCTAAGATCACGCCACTGCACTCCAGCCTCGGTGACTCCAAAAAAAGTGTCTCAAAAAAAAAGAACTGGCTGGGCGCGGTGGCTCAAGCCTGTAATCCCAGCACTTTGGGAGGCCGAGGCGGGTGGATCACGAGGTCAAGAGATCGAGACCATCCTGGTCAGCATGGTGAAACCCCGTCTCTACTAAAAATACAGAAAATTAGCTGGGCATGGCGGTGTGTGCCTGTAATCCCAGCTACTCAGGAGGCTGAGGCAGGAGAATTGCCTGAACCCAGGAGGCGGAGGTTGCGGTGAGCTGAGATCGCGCCATTGCACTCCAGCCTGGGTAACAAGAGCGAAACTCCGTCTCAAAAAAAAAAAAAAAAAAAGAACTAAAAAGAGTGATAAACAGGCCAGGCGCAGTAGCTCACGCCTGTAATCTCAATATTTTTTGAGGCTGAGGTAGGAGGGTTGCCTGAGCCCAGGAGGTCGAGGCTGGAGTGAGCTGTCTTTGCACCAATGTACACCAGCCCAAGTGACAGAGCAAAACCGTGTCTCAGAAATCAAAAAGAGGCTGGGTGTGGTGGCTCACGCCTGTAATCCCACCGCTTTGGGAGGCCAAGGCCAGCAGATCATCTGAGGTCAGCAGTTTGAGACCAGCCTGGCCAACATAGCGAAACCCCATCTCTACTAAAAATACAAAAATTAGCCGGGTGTGGCGGCACATGCCTGTAATCCCAGCTACTCGGGAGGCTGAGGCAGGAGAATTGCTTGAACCGGGAGGCAGAGGTTGCAGTGAGCCGAGATCACACCACTGCACTCCCGTCTGGGCGACGAGCGAAACTCCATCTCAAGAAAAAAAAAAAAAAGGAAGTCCTGGTCTTAGACTCCCGTGCCTCCAGAAATGTGAGCCACACGTTTCTGTCGTTTATAAATCGCCCAGACTACGATACTTTGCTATAGCAGTCCAAACAGCCTGAGGCAGATGCTGTTCAACCCACAGCAGTAATACAAGCAAGAAAGGAGGAGTAGACGTGTCCGCAGATGACCCTGCATCGTGGGACGCGGCTAGCCAAGGACGCTCTGGGCACCCGGCTCTGTCTCCCACCGTGAGTCGAACGGGAGCTGGCTTCTCCCTGGGCATCTGTCCCGAGTACATGGTTACTGTGATGACTACTTGCTCCTATTCCCTCACCGAGGTCACTAAGCACCTCCTGAAGGCCAGGTGAGGACAAGCAGATGGGGGCAGCCATTGCAGAGGAGACTGCAGAGGGGACAGACACAGAAACCAGTGTCATCCCACCCACTTCCTGAATCGGCGATGACAGCCACGTCTGCTATACACGGCGCCTACGTTCCATCTGGGCTCCTGTCTCTGCCGCCCCTGCCCTGCCTGGAATGGTGGCCGGTCCCACGCTGCGGTGTCCTGTCAAACCCGTCACGGCTCTCACCTCTCCCCGTGAGCTTCCCCCAGCCCCAGCCAGCCCTGCACACTTTTATATCAGACCCAGCCCCTCTCACCCACCCTTGGTTCCCTCATACCTGCCCCTGCAGCCCTGCAAAAGGCCACCTCCCTCATGCCCAATCCCGTGTATATATGGGCACATATATCTATCAACAGGAGCTTGCCCATCGCCCAAGCTGGAGTGCAGTGGCGCAATCTTGGCTCACTGCAACCTCCACCTCCTGGGTTCAACCAAGTCTCCTGCCTCAGCCTCCCAAGTAGCTGGGATTACAGGCATGCACCACCACACCTGGCTAATTTTATTGTATTTTTAGTAGAGATGGGGTTTCACTATGTTGGTTAGGCTGGTCTCAAACTCCTGACCTCAAATGATCCTCCTGCCTTGGCCTCCTGAAGTGCTGGGATTACAAGTGTGAGCCACTGCACCTGGCCTCTGTTTTTTTTTTTTTTGAAACAGAGCCATGCTCTGTCATCCAGGCTGGAGTGCAGTGGTACAATCTCTGCTCACTGTAACCTCCACCTCCTGGGTTAAAGTGATTCTCCTGCCTCGGCCTCCCGAGTAACTGGAACTACAGGCATGCCACCACGCCCAGCCAATTTTTGTATTTTTAGTAAAGATGGGGTTTCGCCATGTTGGCCAGGATGGTCTCGATCTCTTGACCATGTGATCTGCCCTCCTCAACCTCCCAAAGTGCTGGGATTACAGGCATGAGCCGTGGCTCATTGCAGCCTCAACTTCCCAGGCTCAGCTGACTCTCCCATCTCACCCTCCCAAGTAGCTGGGACGGCAAGTGTGTACCACCACGCATGGCTAATTTTTCTGTATGTTTAGTAAAGATAGGATTTTGCCATGTTGTCCAGGCTGGTCTCAAACTCCTGGATTCTAGCAATTCATCCACCTTGGCCTCCCAAAGTGCTGGGTTTATAGGCATGAGCCGCCGCACCCAACCTAGTGATTTCTTTATGCTAGAACAGTCCAATTCTTTTCTTCTAGCTAGTTTGAAATATACTATAGACTATTGTAAACTATAGTCACCCTAATGATCTAACACTACATTTTCCTTCTATCAAACCATATATTTGTCCCCATTAATCAACTTCTCCTCACCCCACTTTCCCCCAACCCTTTCCAGCCTCTGGCAACCATCAAGCTACTCTCTATCTTCATGAGATCCACTCTATTTTTATTTTTTAGAGACAGGGTCTCGCTATGTTGCCCAGGCTGGAGTGCAGTGGCTATTCGCAGGCACGATCCCACTACTGATCAGCACGGGAGTTTTGACCTGTTCCGTTTCTGACCTGGGCTGGTTCACCCCTCCTTAGGCAAGTTGGTGGTCCCCCGCTCCCAGGAGGTCACCATATTGATGCCAAACTTCATGCAGACACCCAGGCAGCATAGTGCACTACAGCCCAGAACTCCTGGGCTCAAGCAATCCTCCCACCTCAGCCTCCCAAGTAGCTGGGACTACAGGCATGTGCCACCGCACCAGGCCAGATCTACTTCATTTTTATTTTTGAGACAGAGTTTTGCTCTTGTCACCCAGGCTGGAGTGCAATGGCTCAATCTCTGCTCACTGCAACCTCCACCTTTCTAGTTTAAGGGATTCTCCTGCCTCAGCCTCCTGAGTAGCTGGGATTACAGACACGCACCCCTGCACCCAGCTAACTTCGTATTCTTAGTAGAGACGGGGTTTCTCCATGCTGATCAAGCTGGTCTCAAACTCCCAAACTCAGATCATCCGCCCGCCTCAGCCTCTCAAAGTGCTGAGAATACAGGCATGAGCCACCGCGCATGTCTTATTTTTTTGAGACAGGATCTCACTCTGTCACGAAGGCTGGAGTGCAGTAGCACGATTATAGGTCGAGCTTCGAATTCCTGGGCTCAAGTATGATCCCCTTTGTTAACTTCCCAGATATGAAACCATACATTTACAGCCAGCTCATCTTCGACAAAGGCACCAAGAACATATAGCGGGGGGGGGCCAGGAGTGAGGGCTCGCACCTGTAATCCCAGCACTTTGGGATACCAAAGCGGGTGGATCACCTGAGGTCAGGAGTTCGAGACCAGCCTGGCTGGGTTTTCATAGTGAAACCCCATCTCTATGAAAAATACAAATACATGGTGGAGCACGCCTGTAATCCCAGCTACTGGGGAGACTGAGGCAGGAGAATCACTTGAACCCAGGAGGCGGAGGTTGCACCAAGACTATGCTACTGCACTTCAGCCTGGGCAACAGAGCAAGACTCTGTCGCAGAAAAAAAGAATATATAGTGGAGAAAGGACAGTTTCTTCAATAAAATGGTGCTCAATAAAAATACAAAAATCAGCCAGGTGTGGTGGCAGGCGCCTATAGTCCCAGCTACTCAGGAGGCTGAGACAGAAGAATCACCTGAACTCGGGAGGTGGAGGTTGTAGTGAGCCGAGAAGGCGCCACTGGCTTGCTATGTGCAGAAGAATGAAACTAAACTCCTGGCCAGGTGTGGTGGCTCACACCGGTAATCCCAGCACTTTGGGAGGCAGAGGTGGGTGGATCACTTGAGGTCAGGAGTTCGAAACCAGCCTGTCCAACATGGTGAAACCCCATCTCTACTAAAAATACAAAATTAGCCGGGCATGGTGGTGCATGACTGTAATCCCAGCTACTCGGGAGGCTGAGGCAGGACAATCACTTGAACCTGGAAGGCAGAGGTTGTAGTGAGCCAAGATCGTGCCACTGCACTCCAGCCTGGGCAACAAGAGCAAAACTCCATCTCAAAAAAAAAAAAAAAAAAAACTAGACTCCTATCTCTCACCACATAAAAAAATCAAATCAAAATGGATTACAGACCTACATCTAAGATTTGAAACTATGGGCCGGGCGTAGTGGCTCACACCTGTAATCCCAGCACTTTGAGAGGCTGAGGTGGGTAGATCACAAGGTCAGGAATTCAAGACCAACCTGGCCAACATAGTGAAACACTGTCTCTACTAAAAATACAGAAATTATTGAGCCGGGCACGGTGGCTCATACCTGTAATCCTAGCACTTTGGGAGGCTGAGGTGGGTGGATCACCTGAGGTCAGGAGTTCAAGACCAGCCTGGCCATCATGGTGAAACCCCATCTTAAAAAAAAAAAAAAAATACAGAAATTAGCCAGGTGTGGTGGTGGGCACCTGTAGTCTCAGCTACTCGGGAGGCTGGGGTAGGACAATCACTTGAACCCAGGAGGCGGAGGTGGCAGTCAGCCGAGATTGCGCCACTGCACTCCAGCGTGGGCAACAGAGGGAGATTATGTCTCAAAAAAAAAGGCAGGGGAGTCCTAGGGGAGAAATAGCAGCGGGTCGGGGAATTGGAGAGGCATAGCATTAGGAGAAATACCTAATGTAGATGACAGGGGGGTGGATGCAGCAAACCACCACCATGGCACGTATATACCTATGTAACAAACCTCTACCATCTGCACATGTACCCCAGAACTTAAAGTATAATTAAAATACTTTCATATATATATATTTGAACCTATGAAACTCCTAGAAGAAAGCTTTGGAGGCCGGGCACGGTGGCTCATGCCTGTAATCCCAGCACTTTGGCACTTTGGGAGGTTGAGGCAGGAGTTTGAGACAAGCCTGGGCAACATGGTAAAACCCCATCTCTACAAAAATACAAAAACTGACCCAGTCAAGGTTGCTCATGCCGGTGATCCCAGCACTTTGGGAGGCCGAGGTGGGCGGATCATGAAGTCAGGAGTTCGAGACCAGCCTGGCCAATATGGTGAAACCCTGTCTCTACTAAAAATACAAAAATTAGCCATCTGCGGTGGTGGGTGCCTGTAATTCCAGCTACTGGGGAGACTGAGGCAGGAGACTCGCTTGAGCCTGGGAGGTGGAAGTTGCCGTGAGCCGAGATTGAGCCACTGCCCTGCAGCCTGGGTGACAGAGTGAGACTCCATCTCAAAAAAAACAAACAAACAAACAAAAAAAAAAACAGAAAGAAAACATTGGTAAAATGCTCAGATGTTGGTCTGGGCAAAGATTTGTGTGTGTGTGAGGCCTCAAAAGCACAGGCAACAACAGGAAAAATCAACAAATGGGATTACATCAAGCTTTTTTTTTTTTTTTTTTTTTTGGGAGTCAGGGTCTTGCTATTTTACCCAGGCTGGCCTGGAACTTGTAGACTCAAGGGATCCTCCTGCCTCAGACTCCCAAGTACCTGGGACTACAGGCACATGCCACCACACCCAGCTCAGAAAAATGTTTTAGGAGCACCCCGGCACCTTCGTCTCCAAAAACTGCTTCCTGAGCCTCAAGTACCACTCTGTCCGATCAAAGACCACAATATAATAATCAATTGGACAATCAAATTAGATTCAAAACTCCACAAGATCAAGTCTCAGGCCTTGTTCAAGGTGGTGTCCTGAGCTCCAGGCTACAGGGACAGTGGCCTGGGGTCTCTTGGTTGACCTGAGGTGGCACAGTCTGTACAAGTTGAGAAGGAGGCAGGTCGACAGCGCCACCTGGAGGCCAGATGGCAAACAGACAAAGGTGAGACCACTCAACGGTAACCAGTTAATGAATGCAGGGCTTGGGGCTGGGGGCAGTGGCTGACGCCTGCAATCTCACCACGTGGGGAGGCCTAGGTGGGTGAATCGCGAGTTCAGGAAATTGAGAGCATCCTGGCTAACACGGTGAAACCCTGCCTTTACTAAAAATACAAAAATTAGCCAGGTGTGCCTGTAGTCCCAGTACGCTTGAACCCGGAAGGTGGAGGTTGCAGTGAGCTGAGATCACGCCACTGCACTCCAGCCTGGGCGACAGAGCAAGACTCTGTCTCAAGGATAATAATACTAATTTTTGAATTTTTTTTTAAAAGGCCAGGAGCCGTGACTCACACCTGTAATCAATCCCAGCACTTTGGGAGCTCGAGGCAGGCGGATCACCTGACATCAGGAGTTTGGCACCAGCCTGGCCAACGTGATGAAATCCTGTCTCTACCAAAAATACAAAAGTTAGCCAGACGTGGTGGTCCATGCCTGCAACCCCAGCTCCTCGGGAGGCTGAGGCATGGGAATTTCTTGAACTGGGAGGCAGAGGTTGCAGTGAGCCGACATCGCACCACCACTGCACTCCAGCCTGCAGAGTGAGACCATGTCTCAAAAAAAATTAAATCAATTGGAAAATCAAATTAGAATCGGAACTCACACACTTAGGTCCAGGGCCTTGCTCGAGGTAGCGTCAGGAGCTCCAGGATCCAGGGGTTCTTGGTTGACCTGTGGTTGACGTCTGCACAAGTCGAGGAGGAGGCAGGCTGACAGCGCCACCTAGAGGCCAGATGGCAAACAGCCAGAGGGTGAGACCACTTTCTTTTTTTTTTTTTTTTTTTTTTTTTTTTTTTTTTTTTTTTTTTGAGACGGAGTTTCGCTCTTGTTACCCAGGCTGGAGTGCAATGGCGCGATCTCGGCTCACCGCAACCTCCACCTGCTGGGTTCAGGCAATTCTCCTGCCTCAGCCTCCTGAGTAGCTGGGATTACAGGCACGCACCACCATGCCCAGCTAATTTTTTTGTATTTTTAGTAGAGACGGGGTTTCACCATGTTGACCAGGATGGTCTCAATCTCTTGACCTCGTGATCCACCCGCCTCGGCCTCCCAAAGTGCTGGGATTACAGGCTTGAGCCACCGCGCCCGGCCCGAGACCACTTTCTTCTGTTCGCTCTTGCCGCCCAGCTGGAGTGCATTAGCGAGATCTCAGCTCACTGCAACCTGCGCCTCCAGGGTTCAAGCGATTCCCCTGCCTCAGCCTCCGGAATAGCTGGGATTACAAGGGCCCGCCACCACGCCAGGCTAATTTTGGTAATTTTAGTAGAGACGGGGTTTCACCATTTTGGCCAGGCTGGTCCGGAACTGCTGACCTCAGCTCGTCCACCTACCTCGGCCTCCCACGGGCCTGGGATTACAGGCATTTTTTTTTTTTAATCAAAAAAAAAAAAAAAAAAAAAAAAAATCTAACTGGTTAAGGAATCCGGAACTTGAGGCAGGGCACAGTGGCGCGCACCTGTAATCCCAGCACTTTGGGAGGCCGAGGCAGGCGGATTATGTGAGGTCAGGAGTTTGAGACCAGCCTGGCCAACATGGTAAAACCTCATCTCTACTAAAAATACAAAAATTGGCCACGCATGGTGGCACATTCCTATAGTCCCACCTACTCGGGAGCCCAGGCAGGAGAACTGCTTGAACCTTGGAGGCAGAAACTGCAGTGAGCCAAGGTCGCACCACTGCACTCCGGCCTGGGCAACAGAGTGAGACTCCATCTCAAAGAAAAAAAAAAAGAAGAAAAAACAAAGACAGAAGCAGTCTCCTCCTTCTCCTGCTTTTCTTTCCTCTCCCCCTCCCTCCTCTTCCTCCTCCTCCTCCTCCTCTTTTGTTATTGTTGAGACAGGGTGTCACTGTTGCCCACGCTGGAGTGCAGTGGCATGATGTCACCTCACTGCAACCTTGTGGATTCAAGCAGTTCTCCTGAGTCAGCCTCCTGAGTCCCTGGGACTAAAGGCACCTACCACCATAGCTCACTAATTTTCGTGTTTTTAGTAGACGTGGGGTTTCACCACATTGGCCAGGCTGGTCTCCAACTCCTAATCTCAAGTGATCCACCCACCTTGGCCTCTAAAAGTGCTGGGATTACAGGTGCGAGCCACCTCACCCAACCTTTTTTTTTGCTTGTTTAAGAGACAGGGTTTCAGCTAGGCGTGGTGTTGCTGTGTGGCTCAACCTGGTCTCAAACACCTGGCCTCAAAGGATCCAAGGGAGAAATTTCTAATCAGAAAATTAAGAGTCAAGCTGGGCGAGCTGGCTTACACCTGTAATCCCAGCACTTTGGGAAGCTGAAGCTGGTGGTCAGGAGTTGAGGGACTCCACTTGAGATCAGGAGTTCGAGACCAGCCTGGCCAACATGGTAAAACCCCGTCTCTACTAAAAATACAAAAATTAGCTGGGCGTGGTGGTGGGCGTCTGTAATCCCAGCTACTCAGGAAGCCAAGAAAGAATTGCTTGAATCCGTGAGGTGGAGGTTGCAGTGAGCCAATATCAGGCCACTACATTCCAGCCTGGGTGACAGAGCAATGCTCCGTCTCAAAAAAAAAAAAAAAAAAAAAAGAGAAAAGAAAAGTAATACTCATGGCTGGGCACAGTGGCTCACTCCTATAATTCCAGCACTTTGGGAGGCTGAGGCGTGTGGATCACCTGAGGTCAGGAGTTCGAGACCAGCCTGGCTAACATGGTGGAACCCTGTTTCCACTAAAAATACAAAAAATTAGCCAGGTGCGGTGGTGCACACCTGTAATCTCAGCTGCTCAGGGGGCTGAGGCAGGAGAATCGCTTGAACCTGGAAGGTGGAGGTTACAGCGAGCTGAGATCACACCACTACACTCCAGCCTGGGCAACAAGACAGAAATTCTGTCTCAAGAAAAAAAAAAAAAAGCAAGAAAGAAAAATAAGAGTCAGAACGGCTGGATTACTTGTCTCATGTCACACAACTGCAAAAACGATGAGACTCGAATCTGCACCCGGTTGGTTTCTGGTTCCCGTCCAGTCACCCTTGCCATTTCCCTGAGGTGAGGACATGCCCCTGCTGGTTGAGACCTAGTTACCTTTGGCCACGTCCGCCCCACCCCCTCCTAAATCTCTGATTCAGAACGACAATCTCCAGGTCCTCGAACTTCAGATGGTCCAAAGTTCAGCTTGGTTCAAGATATTGAAACCATCTTTCCCCTCTCCCTCCCGGCCATCCAGAGAGAGTTAGGTCCCGCTACTTCCGGAGCAAAACCATAAGTCCAAAGTCCAGTTAGGGGCTGGGCAAGGTGGCTTATGCTTGTAATCCCAGCACTTTGGGAGGCCTAGGCGGGCTGATCACTTGAGGCCAGAAGTTCGAGACCACCCTAGGCAACATGGCAAAACCCCATCTTTTCAAAAATTAGGCTTGATGACACATGCCTGTATTCCCAGGTACTTGGGAGGCTGAGGTGGGAGGATCACTTGAGCCCAGGAGGTGGAGGCTGCAGTGAGCTATGACCACACCACTGCACTCCAGCCTGGGAGACAGAGTAAGACTGCCTTTAAAAAAAAAATTAGGCTGGGCGTGATGGCAGGTGCCTGTGATCCTAGCTACTTGGGAAGGCTGAGGCAGGAGAATCGCCCGAACCTGGGAGGAGGAGGCTGTGGTGAACTGTGGTGGTGAACTGTGGTGAACTGCATTCCAGCCTGGGCGACAGAGCAAGACTCCATCCCCCCCCCGCCCACAAAAAATACAAAAATTAGCTGGGCATGGTGGCAGGCACCTGTAATCCCAGCTACTCATTACTTGGGAGGCTGAAGCAGGAGAATTGCTTAAACCTGGGAGGTGGAGGTGGGAGTGACCCAAGATCGCACCACTGCACTCCAGCCTCAGCGACAGAGTGAGGCTGTCTCTAAAAAAGGGAAAATAATTAAACATAACAGAAAATGTATTAAAAAGAAAAATCCAGACCAGGCACAGTGGCTCACGCCTGCAGTCTCAGTACTTTGGATGGCCAAGGCAGGCAAATCATTTGAGGTCAGGAGTTCCTGATAAGCCTGGCAAACATGGTAAAACCCCGTCTTTACTAAAAATACAAAAATTAGCTGAGCGTGGTGGCACATGCCTGTAATCCCAGCCACTAGGGAGGCTGAGGCAGAAGAACCACTTGAACCCAAGAGCCAGAGGTTGCAGTAAGCGGAGATTGCGCCTCTGCACTCCAGCCTGGATGACAGCAAGACTCCGTCTCAAAAAAAATAAAATAGTTTTTTTTAGACAGAGTTTTGCTTTGTCTCTAAATAAATGAAAATAATAATAATAATAAATAAATAAATAAATAAAAATAACACAGTAATAAACATAAAAATAAATTAGCCCAGCATGGTGCATGCCTGTAGTCTCAGCTGCTCAGGAGGCTGAAGCAGGAAGATTGTTTGAACCGAGGAGCTTGAGGCTGCAGTGAGCCACAGTCACGCCATTGCACTCCAGCCTGGGAGACAGAGCAAACCCCATCTCTAACAAATACATACATAGGAAAAGGACATGAATGTGTCCCTGTGGGAAGAGGTGGGTGCCTCAGAATCCCACAGGCGTTCCCAGCTATTATAGAGGTCACTGCATAAGCCCAGGGGGCTCTCACTGCCTTCAGCTCCCTGTGGGAACTCCTGAGTCGGGGGCCACCCATAGGGCTTCTCATGTGGTGCAGAGCTGGGCAGGGATGGGGGAGAGCAGCCTGGGTCCACAGGGACTCACCCAGCATGGCTTCTCCGGGAGGACCCCTTCAGACCTTGCTCTGAACCATTCATCCTGGTGAGGACCCAGCAGTTGGAGGCGGAGAGAGTGACCTTATTTTATTTTTATTTTATTTGAGACAGAGTTTTGCTCTGTTGCCAAGGCTGGAGTACAATGGCGAGATCTCGGCTCACTGCAACCTCCACCTCTCAGGTTCAAGCAATTCTCCTGCCTCAGCCTCCTGAGTAGCTGGGATTACAGGCATGCACCCCCACGCCTAATTTTGTATTTTCAGTAGAGACGGGGTTTCTCCATGTTGGTCAGGCAGGCTGGTCTTGAACTCCTGGCCTCAGGTGATCCGCCCGCCTCAGCCTCCCAAAGTGCTGGATTTACGGGCATGACCCACCACCCCGAGCTAATTTTTTTTTTTTTTTTTTTATTTTGTTGAGATGGGGTTTTGTTTTTGTTGCCCAGGCTGGAGTGCAATGGCACGATCTCGGCTCACCGCAATCTCCGCCTCCCAGGTTCAAGTGATTCTCCTGCCTCAGCCCCCAGAGTGGCTGGGATTACAGGCACCTGGCCACCACCATGCCTGGCTAATTTTGTGTTTTTAGTAGAGACGGGTTTCACCACATTGGCCAGGCTGTTTTCAAGCTCTTGACCTCATGTGACCCACCTGCCTCAGCCTCCCAAAGTGCTGGGATTACTGGTATGAGCCGTGCCCAGCCTGCCAGTGTTTTAAAAAGTAGCTGTGCATCATCTGACCCTGCAGGGCTGTGGCCCCGGGCTGTGTGCCCTCAGTGCCAGTGGAAGGAAGCTAACAGCCGCCCCTGACCCAACTATCATCCCTCCACCCCAGGGTTTCAGACGCCTCCACCTCTCAGCCCCTTCCTTCAAAGCTTCAAACAGCCCACTGACAGGCCCAGGCTCAGAGGTCCAGGCTTTCTGTAAATGTGAGACATAAAAAGAACCGTGGGGTAGGAATGGTCCCCGGCTCGCTAAGAGATGCCACCCCCACGCTGCCCACAGCACCGCAAACACC